ATGAATTCACCATTGTATATTGAGCAAGTCGCTTTTGTTTTGCTTTCTTAGACAATATTCCAACGCATAGTGCTTTATCATTATTGGTGATGTTAACCTCACCTCTAGCGGATTTTCCCAAATTTTCTTGTCTTGTATTTCTGATGATTTACATTGTGTTCATCATTCACCTATAATTGCACTGACAACTTATGCAATGTGATATGGAGATATTTGATTAAAAAAATAATTGTGTTTATTGATTGTAGTAAATAAATCATGGAATCCGACATCTAATAACTCAAGCAAAGGTTTTGAAAATCCAATTTATAATAGAAAACTATCAGTTAAGTAATGGTAGTATGAGGTCATGTGGAAAGTGGAACAGTGATTTTTAGTGGAAACTCATATGTACATTTCAATTTCTCTCATTTCTGCACTGGTTATTATTTATTCACTCTGAGGTGGAAATGTCAAAGAACAAAATTTAGTTTTTAAAAGAAACTAGTCTCAGTTGTCAAACAGTCAAATATAAAGATGTTTTGATGTTAAATTAGAAACATGACAATTTTAATTCCACGCTTTAATTAATTCATTCTGTAGGCACTGTGAATTCTAGATAAAATGAAACGGATATTTATAGCCAGCTCCTAGCAGTAATTGCTGTCCTGTATTGAAAGGATTTATTGTTCAATAACTTACAATACCAGCTGAGCCTAGTACATTAAGTGGGGCCTGGGCATGCTCTGTACTTAGTGTTAGTAGCCTAAGAAATATGATTTTAGGAGCATTAGGCTATCAGTATTAAAAACTGCTGGTCATTTATCAAATGGGAGGACAGGGACAAAAGATGATTGACAAAATTTTTGATATATTGTGATAATCAGCTTTGAGCAAATGAGTGAACCATTGCTAAATGTTCAGTGGGTTCCTGTATTCGCTCCATTTATGTTCCTTATAAGTTTTAATTGTTTACCTCGCTTTGGTTGATGTCCACGTTGTATCAAGTCTAGATGGAAATTGAGATACAAATCTAATCCGATTCTGGCATATTTGCTTGGAACATGGAAGATTACTGTCTGTGTGGTATCCGTAGTCTTTAATGGAACTGATGGTAAAATATGAAAACTGGGATTATTCAGACAGAATGAGACTGTCACGATATGCAATGACAATTTTCCAATACCATTAAGAAACTGATGTGGGAGGCACATAGGGTTTGAATTAAATCTGAAGATCACATTGCAGAACGGATGCCTATTTATTGTAAGCAGAAAGGTTTGTCATGCCAGTTAGGAAACCAGTGAGGAGACCGCCATTGGCATTTCAGCACATCCGCAGGCATAAAAGAAGGAAGCATTCCAAAAAGGTAATGAAAATCATGGTATCTGCTGCATTACAATTTCAAAAGAAAAGTTGCACTCCAGAAAATGCATGGAGTCAAATGTTTGTTGAATGTTGTGGTTTGATCAAAATATTTTCTCAAAAATGACACAAAAACATAAATTTCGGGCATATGTCTTTGTTACAGCAAATGATTTTTCAAATATATGTTTATGTATCTTGTATTGGCTATTTGCCCAAATAATACAAAATATTTCACTGATAAATGCCAAGATAATACTCATTTCACCTACTGGGAAAGTTGGCAGCCAGTGCTGGAAAGTAAATTAATGAGACGGCTAATTACAAAGAAAATGGAAACTTCATCTTCCATTCTATCGATTGACGTTCTCAAATTTTCTGAAAAATAGGATGAGTTTACAAAGTAGGGTACAGAGATCAGATGGTTATACAGACAGTTATGTGAGGTTCTTTTCATTATACATGTAGTACTTTTTTTTTTCGTTTGAAACTCTTGAATATGGATTAAAAATTTATCACAAAGCCACAATTCTGGAAATATTTTTATCAACCTATCCATCAATATACTGTTAGTAAAGCTTTGTTTCTATGAATTGATTGCTGAGCAAATAAAAGTTAAGGTGTTGACAATTCATGTTTTTTCTTTTGGATGACTGTATTAAATTTTGGATTATATTACCACCAAAAATTATTTAATTTGACCTAGTAAACATTACACCAGTTATAGACAATGTAAATGAGTCTTAAAGTTTTCCATTTCTCTTGGAATATCTTTCTTTATTGAAAAACCAGTAGAAGGATAGCAATTTTGCAAGTATTTCCAAGCGCAAAACAGTTTATTTGATATTGGACAGTGTGTTTGGCAGTCTTGCAGTGTTGAGAAACCTGCATTGGTGCACACCATGATACTGATATCAGCTCTGACATTTGAGGAACTTTTTTCTAAGAAGACTCAGTTTTTAGTGAAAGGCTTAATTTTTAGTTTTTATCTGTGAAAATTTAAGATCAGTGATAAAACAGCATTAATGTAAAGTTTAATTTAATTATATATACTTGTAGGATTTTTAGAAGGAAACAAACTAAAAACAATGTGTTTGTGTAAACCAGTATAGGTAGCGGTTAAGAAGTATATTTTAGATAAAACACATGCAAGAATCTACCGTTTCTGTAATCTACCCAAGTTTCAGAGATGTTAAGTTGTGTATCACTCAGCAAGAAGATGAGATATGCTGGTAACTCAAGATATTCCTGGAACACTGAGTGTTTATACATGCTCTCCATTTCTTTGACCTTTCAAAAATGTTTTTATCTCTTCTTCCACCTTACCATTGGGGTATTAAACACAGTGTACCAATGTATGTAAGTGTCTGTACCTGTATGTTTGATGAAACCAAACAGCAGTGATATGGTAGGTAGAAAGTCATTACTAGTCTCTTATTAGACTCTTATTAGACTAGTCTCTAGTCTCTTATTACTAGTCTCTTATTGTATAGAGATTTAAGTATGGAAAATAGAGAGGGGAGCTGATGCAGAATTGAATTTACCTTGAAAACAATTAAGTCTATATTGCAGAGATATTTAATAACTATATTCAGTTATGTCCTGGTATTTAAGGCTCTGAGGGTTAACTTATATTCTGTCAAAATGGGAAGTCATTTCTCATTTTATTTTTCTTTTTTTCTGAAAAAGTCTGGCATATGATTGAAACTAGGACTTAAAACAAGGGCAGTGAGTGGTTCTTTTTCTGAGTGGATGCTATAGTTGCTATTAGTAGAGTTTTAGATACTGTTGCAAATCTTTAACATCCAAGGAATCCCTTATTGATTTCTGCTGTAGCAAACTGCATAAGCGTGGTATATCTAGTGGAAACTATAAAAGTGTTTCAGTAAAATATCCAGTTTTTAGTGAAGTCATAAATCTTCTCTGGTAATCCAAAAAAGAAAAGACAGAGACTTATAACTGTGTGTCATGTCTGCCATGCTTGTAGACAGTGTCCCTTGCAATTGGAGATAGCCACATTATATAATGAATTAAGATTTTTTTGGGAAAGGTTTTTCCAAACATTATTTATATATTATTTGACAAAATATTCTTAATTATGTTAGTGCTTCTACCAAAAATCTAACTTAGAAAAAAACTTATTGCTCACCTTTTGTGATTCTCGGTATTTTTCCTGAAAGTAGTATCGCTCTCTTTGATTATTAGTGACATCATATTTGTGCAAAACTAGAGCATGCAAATGTTATATTATTGGCCTCAAATCAATAACTTATCAGTCAAAAGATTCTCAACCAACTGATAAATTTACGGTCTTTTTTGCTTCGTAACCCTCAAAATGTGATGAGTCATCCCCTTTTTTTGCACAAAGGGGAGGAGAGAGTGAATTAGGTCTCATAATAAAACTGCAATCTTGTGTGTTCTTAGAAACTATTGACCTCCAGCTGTGGTTTGTGGGCAAAGGAGATGTATATATCTGATGGAACCGTACCAAAACCAATTGCAATTGCTTGGAACACAGTCAATGTATTGGTTGAACAAGTTCGGATTGAATTCCGTTTTAGCACAGGCAAACTGTTGGTACCAGATGACATTACAATTGTTCATCTTGCTGATATATTTCTGGTTATGTGTTTTAATGAGATGTGAATATGAAACTTACGGAACCTTCTGGTAACCGATGCCAATGCACAGAACAATGCAGTCACAGTGATGTAGTCACGGTCAGAATGTTAGTACTGGGGTATTGAAATGGCTGAAAATGGTGAAATTCTATGCAGTTAATGGCAGATGGGTGCACTCATTGGTAATGTACTGGTACTGTTTTATTTTATTTATGTTGCAGGCACTGCTTAAAGTGTGAAGTCCATGAACAGTGTCTTTTCTGGGTAACTACATTACTGATTCCTGAATATTTATTGGTTACACAGTTGGTTTAGGAATTGGGGGTAATTTTGGGCAATGATTTTTACAGAAAAAAGGGTTGACTATAACTGTGAATCATTGAGTTCAAAAATGGGGATACTTCTACATGAAAGTACTTTGTAGTTAGGTTTTTGAAAACTGCCGTTTTCACTTTATAATTAAATCAGAATTTACAACTGGGTATGGAGGATGTAAGGGAGAGATTTATAAAATAAATTAAGTTATTGCTGAATGGAATCTGTTCTGTTTGGACTTGATGGGAATTGAAGACAACATTTCTTAATGATCCATTTATACAGGAGTTGATTATGATTCAATTATGTATGGAAATTTGCTATTTAAACTTTCAGTTTTGATGGTAATGAAGTTACTAGCTATATAGTCTTCTAAGATTGTTGCCTGAAAGATGAGATTTATAGTATGACAGCACAATCATGAAGTCATGTAATTTAGCTATGATGCAGGTGGTTACTAGTTTGATGATGGTGTGTGTGTGTGCATGTGTGTGCATGTGTGTGTGTGTGTGTATGTGTGTGTGCATGTGTGTGTGTGTGTGTGCCTGTGTGTGTGTGTGTATTAAAACTGCTGAGCTGATTTTTAGCATATTCATGTTATAAAGAATTCTTAAATGTACTGCTGGGTCACTTCAGAATTTTCTTAATCCCTGTGAATTAAACTTGTACATCAATTAAATGGCCATTTTGCAGTTTAGCTAATTGTTCTTTTCATTTCAGACAGAAGAGGTGCTTCTTCCTCCAGGCTGGGAGAAACATGAAGGTAAGTACAGATGTTTACAATCCTTTGTGCAATGAAGACAGAGAAAAAAATCAAATGTTCTCTAGATGGCCTTTCGAAACACTTTCTCAATTTACTTGCAAGGTATTTTGAGCTTTTCCCCCTTGATTTTCAATGTCCTTATTGTGAATACCTCTTACAGGGTATATATCTCACATTTGATATTGGTAGAAATTATATTCACATCTAAAAGTTCTACCACAGACCAAAAATGACACTAGTGTTTTTATTTGGGGGGAGGGGGGGGGTTGACACCAATAAAAATTATCTGCTGCTTTTGTGCCATGGCATTTTGTCTAGACTTGTAATAGACCTCCTGCATGATATGTCATTTTAGAGACAATATAACACATAAAAAAGATCTCCATTAAGACAAACACCATGCTTGTTTGAAGTAAGTGGTGGTGAAATGCTGTTGGTAGATGTTTCATGTTTAAAACCCTCTTACAGTGATTTTCTACCTCCATCTGCTTTTGTAATTCTTGATTGTTCCAAGTAATATTATTATATTTTGTCTGTGGAGGATGGAAAGCAGACAGTTATCACTTTCTATTCCCTGTTCATTCACTAAAATTATAGTATCTAGATATTAACTTAAGCCTTGTGTTAAAAAGTCTTCAGGAGTCCCAAATGGCCATTTCCTTGTACTTTGTCAAGTAGTAACAAAGCGATTTTTTCACAAGTGTTCAAAAATTGTGATCTCTTTCCATTTCAAAACGCTAAAACATCAGTTTCTTATCTCTGTGATATAATCAACTGCAGTCAGACCAGCTTTGTCACAGGAAACTAATTGTAAAGACAAAAAGAAAAGTTATCAGACACATGAAATGCCAAGCGGTAGCTTTTGAACTTTGTAATCCAATTTTTGTCATCAAGGAAACAATCAGTAAGAGTGACAGGTGAAGCTCTAACAAATCTGTAATGTCTGTGTGAGCATCCTGCTGTAAACGCCCACGGATAATATCCAGACTGTTGAACTCAGTGTAACAAAAGCCCTATACTAGAATTTGCCTCTAATCAGCCTAGGAAACTTGAAGCTCTAATAAATCTGTTTTCCATGCAGTGTGCAGCAAGTAATATAAAAAAATGCTGTATGTTTGATGGTGTTTTTTTGTGCTGCAGAAAAGATTTACCAACCACTTCAGGATTTTCAGATTCTGAAGTGTGTGGATGCATAGATAAAACCAATTCAAGCAGCAGGACATAGTCAATGGAATATCATTATTTGTTTCATTTTCAAATGATTCAAGTAACTGTATAGTTAAAGTGACATACTTTATCAGATCTTATTATATACTAAAGAAATGTATACCAGTATCTGCTCATCACATTTGCCATTCAACTGCACCCTTAAAGGGATAATAACTCTTCGTATGAGACCTTTATTTCACAATAAAAACCTTGTGAATAACTCATAGAAATATAATATATTCTGTTTTACCAAGAAAACAGCAGTTATAGCTTTTATTCTGATATTTGAACTTGTCTTTAGACCACGTGACCTCCATTGATGTCTATACTCTTTACTTTTTACTAACCAAACTTTTTAGAAAAAAACCAGGGACTGACTTTGAATGTAAAAATGGATTCATTAACCATTGGTAAGTATGGGAAAATTGTTGTTTACTCCAGGAAAATTCATTTTTTGGCCGAAACGAAGAGTTATTATTGCTTTAAGTTGCCAAGGTGATCAAGACATGGACACATATTATTGTGTGCTCATATCTTTTTCTCTTTCTCTCTTCCCTTTTCTCTCCCTCTCTCTCTCATATAAATAAATGAAAACCACTACATTTTTATATTCATGCTCAGTCTAAATGGTCAATTTATTCCTCTATAAGCATGTTTCATAAAAACAGATATGGATATTTAACCAATACAGATCTCTTTTATACATTTTAATGATGTATTCATTGATTTCTATTCAATTAGTGCCCCCAGACCTTTTTCCTTCAATTCAACAAAACTGTATTTGGACTATCTGTTAAGGCTTGGAAATGAATGTTTCTTCAAGTGCTGGGTTGTCATGGCAACAGCCGATGATCTTGTCCCTAATCTAGTCAATATCTTCCTGTGTACATATAACTTATTTTGGCAACCTTTGATAAGACTACATTCTGTTTGGAATCAGAAGAGTAAGAGGAAGGGTATCATGCTGACTCTAAACCCTTAATATAGTTTCTTTCTGCCACAATATCATGGAATTCTGTGTTTATGTGCATACCCCATATCTAGAGAACATGTAATACATGCCATCATGGGCTGCATGCTTGTTTATCTATCCATTTCATTTGAAGAGATAACTGGTATCCATTCTATACTCAAGAGAAAATATTGTACAGGAATGCCCCATGCCACCCGATAAAATGATTTAGCTATACTTTCAAGTACATCAAGTGAAAATATATAGCCCATCACTATCTTTTTTGAACACAGAACAAATATAGAGCATTGACTTTCTGCCCAAAGAAGACTATTGGATTCCTGATATATAGCAAGAGATTACTCCCACACATCCATAGAAAGTTCAATAAATGTTCAGTTGAATGATCTCAATCGTTAGAGCTACCTTTTTTTCATTGTTTGCTATTGGTTCGATGCATGCTGCAGAGATTGGTGCTCTCATGCCATTTCCCTTTAGGACACATTTGGTTCATGTTTGAATGGTCAGCATGCTATGACTGCTGCTTGGGAATTGTGTTAGTTGTGCAGTAAATGTGTCACAGTCAAAATTCTGAAATACTTTGGCAGATTCCTTGTGAAGCTAAATAATTAACACATTGGAGGTTTTTTGAAATGCCATTCTTTTCCTCTAAAACTGTCACCTAATGTTTTATATGCATTAGGTATGATGTGATGTAAAAAGCACACTCAATTAATTTAACTGTATAAGAAGGGTGTCCAAGAGATACCAAATTTGTAGGATCACCATGGCAACCATGGGAAATTTGGTCCCTGGGCAATGCTATTTTAGGCTGTATATGAGAAGGGCAACATATGCATTAGAAATAAAAGGTGCTCTACTTTGAAAAATTGGTAATTTGTTTTCCCCTGTTCCCATAGACTCTTCGCTACTCTCCATACCAATAGTTGATTTCACTATTGCTGAACACAGACTGAGTCTAAGATGTAACTTTTGTTCTTGGGACACCATTTGTGATAGCCCTGCAGTTGGTATACTCTAACTTGCTGATTTCTCCTTGATGTTCTGCACCAGTACACTGGAACATATCCTAAACCAAAGTTATTTTGAATTAAAAAGTAATAAAATTAAAAGTAATGATTTGTTCTTTTCAGTGGAAAAATATTATTGTGAATTGAAAAGATACTGTATTCTTTTTTTTTTTTTTTTCAAATCATGATTTTTTAAAATTACAACATTTCCATGGATTGGTAGCAACAAACTTAAAAGCAGGTAATCCAATAGTTTTATTCTATACTGTAAAACATAAAACACTAAAAATGCTATACAGAAGATATTTAATTAAATGTAGCTTAATTTGTATGATTCCAAAATTATGTATGTGGAAAATCCATTATTTTCCACCATAAAAAGGATCCAGTGTATACCTTAGTTCACATTTCTATGGCTGACAAGGAGATCAAAGAGCACAGATCCAGAAAGCAGCAATTTAATTGTTTGGAATTGTTTGGTCTTTTTCTGGTATTGTTCATCATTTGTCTATGGCTTTGATGTGACATGTTTGTTCTAGCTGGAGGATAGTTCTGGCATCTGAGATGGACAAATGTCATTTAATTGCCATTCAACAACATTGAACGTCTCAAATGTTGTTTAACCAACCCTATCCTTGGAGTCATTAACAAAGTGACCAGCTCTCTTTTTGTCTGTGGTTTAACAGGAATTGCAAGCTCTGCATGGCCTTTCTGACAGAATTTGGGGATATTAAGAAATGGTTAGATCGAAGAAAAGAAATGTGTTTAGAATATGGTGGAGTTATTAACAGAGTGGTTTAACTGGAATTGAAAGCTCTGGCACTTCTGACAGATTTTGGAGATGTTTAGAAATGATTTTATCGAGGAAAGGAAATGCATTTAGAATATTGTATTAGGTTGATGGCAAAGCATGATGTAATGTCATTTGTATGGGACTGTGCCCCTTCTGGAAACTGTTTTATGCGTAAACTTAATTGCTTGCAAGTAAAGTTGATTAAAGAGAAATGAAAGCAAACACAATTTCTTGATTGTGTTTTGTAACTCAACATGCATCACCATCAAACAAAAAAAGCCGGCTTTATTACTATTTGCTCCCCACAAAAAGGAGTCTGTATAAAGATAAACACAACTGTGGCAGATAATGGGGAAGTGCTGTGACATCTCCATGGCAACCGCAGGAAATTTGCTCCCTGGGTAATGCCGTTTTAGGCTGACGATGAGAGGGACAACATTTGCATTAGAAGGAAAAAGGTGTTCTGGTTTGAGAAATTAGTTATATTCTCCCCTGCCCCCAATATTCTCCATGCCATGTATGATGTCACTAATGCTCAACGCAAACTGAGAATATTAGTGATAAAAAGAGATGGAATGAATTGTGCTTTTCCATTGTGAAGTTTTTGCCATATTCCATGGCAGTTCCCTTGGAAGTTAAAATGATGATTGATCGTAAGAGCCACAGAATGATGAGCTGATTGTCTGTCTCTAGATCATGAAGCACCACCCTCAGGTAGTAATGAGGCTGTACAGCTAGTCTGTATGGGTGTCTCAATGGCAGTTGCAGGCTCCAGTATTTTTATGTATGGTCTGTGAGGCGATTCCGGAGAATTCTATGCCCTTTTCATAGTGATGCCACAAAAAGGAGTCTACATATGGCTATACCAGCCACACACATGATAAACAGTGACAATTTGAACAGAATGGCAAACTTTTTGACTTCATTGTTTTGCTGAAAGTGGATTCTTGGGCATGAGTGTATGTGTTTGTGACTTCACCTTCATGACATATCACTGACACTGTAAAATGGGTGTCATTGCCAATGACACAATTTAGGCGAGATGTCAAGCACTCTTGGACAGATGGAGGAATGGGCACATTCTGACCTAGATGAAGAAATGGTCTTTGAATTTTTAGGCAGGTGACTGTTCTTTGATGTAGTTGTCATAGCAACGTATGTTTGTGCATGTGCATTAAGTCTTGCAAAGGACGTGTNTTTTTTTTTTTTTTTTCAAATCATGATTTTTTAAAATTACAACATTTCCATGGATTGGTAGCAACAAACTTAAAAGCAGGTAATCCAATAGTTTTATTCTATACTGTAAAACATAAAACACTAAAAATGCTATACAGAAGATATTTAATTAAATGTAGCTTAATTTGTATGATTCCAAAATTATGTATGTGGAAAATCCATTATTTTCCACCATAAAAAGGATCCAGTGTATACCTTAGTTCACATTTCTATGGCTGACAAGGAGATCAAAGAGCACAGATCTAGAAAGCAGCAATTTAATTGTTTGGAATTGTTTGGTCTTTTTCTGGTATTGTTCATCATTTGTCTGTGGCTTTGATGTGACATGTTTGTTCTAGCTGGAGGATAGTTCTGGCATCTGAGATGGACAAATGTCATTTAATTGCCATTCAACAACATTGAACGTCTCAAATGTTGTTTAACCAACCCTATCCTTGGAGTCATTAACAAAGTGACCAGCTCTCTTTTTGTCTGTGGTTTAACAGGAATTGCAAGCTCTGCATGGCCTTTCTGACAGAATTTGGGGATATTAAGAAATGGTTAGATCGAAGAAAAGAAATGTGTTTAGAATATGGTGGAGTTATTAACAGAGTGGTTTAACTGGAATTGAAAGCTCTGGCACTTCTGACAGATTTTGGAGATGTTTAGAAATGATTTTATCGAGGAAAGGAAATGCATTTAGAATATTGTATTAGGTTGATGGCAAAGCATGATGTAATGTCATTTGTATGGGACTGTGCCCCTTCTGGAAACTGTTTTATGCGTAAACTTAATTGCTTGCAAGTAAAGTTGATTAAAGAGAAATGAAAGCAAACACAATTTCTTGATTGTGTTTTGTAACTCAACATGCATCACCATCAAACAAAAAAAGCCGGCTTTATTACTATTTGCTCCCCACAAAAAGGAGTCTGTATAAAGATAAACACAACTGTGGCAGATAATGGGGAAGTGCTGTGACATCTCCATGGCAACCGCAGGAAATTTGCTCCCTGGGTAATGCCGTTTTAGGCTGACGATGAGAGGGACAACATTTGCATTAGAAGGAAAAAGGTGTTCTGGTTTGAGAAATTAGTTATATTCTCCCCTGCCCCCAATATTCTCCATGCCATGTATGATGTCACTAATGCTCAACGCAAACTGAGAATATTAGTGATAAAAAGAGATGGAATGAATTGTGCTTTTCCATTGTGAAGTTTTTGCCATATTCCATGGCAGTTCCCTTGGAAGTTAAAATGATGATTGATCGTAAGAGCCACAGAATGATGAGCTGATTGTCTGTCTCTAGATCATGAAGCACCACCCTCAGGTAGTAATGAGGCTGTACAGCTAGTCTGTATGGGTGTCTCAATGGCAGTTGCAGGCTCCAGTATTTTTATGTATGGTCTGTGAGGCGATTCCGGAGAATTCTATGCCCTTTTCATAGTGATGCCACAAAAAGGAGTCTACATATGGCTATACCAGCTACACACATGATAAACAGTGACAATTTGAACAGAATGGCAAACTTTTTGACTTCATTGTTTTGCTGAAAGTGGATTCTTGGGCATGAGTGTATGTGTTTGTGACTTCACCTTCATGACATATCACTGACACTGTAAAATGGGTGTCATTGCCAATGACACAATTTAGGCGAGATGTCAAGCACTCTTGGACAGATGGAGGAATGGGCACATTCTGACCTAGATGAAGAAATGGTCTTTGAATTTTTAGGCAGGTGACTGTTCTTTGATGTAGTTGTCATAGCAACGTATGTTTGTGCATGTGCATTAAGTCTTGCAAAGGACGTGTTAATATGGATAATGCGTATCTTATTTTACCATTGGGGGACTCATAATTGTCATTTAATCATGCTGTCTGTCTCTCATTTAATTATTTTTAAGCTGTGTTTGATCTATTATGGCATCTTATTTCTTTTCCATGCTCTACATTGTATTATGTGGGCTGTCACTGCATGTCTGCAGTATTGATTATTGTAATTGCAGATATAATTTCCCCCATCCATTACATCATTTGATATGCACTTATATTCAGGATAAGGCTTTTGTAGTTACAGACAGGAGTGAACTTGAAAGCATTGCCTGAACTAGATACTACTATAATAACCTTTATTCGTTTGCTGCATTTTCACTGAAACTGGCAGAAGTTAGCTGCCAGGGCACTCTTAGCAGTCCACCTGTGGGCTTTCCACGAACTTGGTTTGAATCCAAATGTGATTTCATGCTGCATTGTGCTTCGTCAAGCCAATTGTGTTTACTCGCAGATAAGTCCAAACACAAAGACGAGACCGACCAACTGAAGATGAAAATCTGATAATTTTACCATTAGCTGAAGTGAAGGTATAGGAGATGGTTGAAGTGGTGTGATGGGAGACCACTGCCATATAGAGTGGCCAAATGATGGAAATGCACCTAGTGGCCACGGAATTCTGGTTTGTTTCTGAATACCAAACCTTGAAAGCAGCATATTTCTGAGGAACCAGTTCAGTGTTGACTTTTCTTATTAACTGTGATATCAGTGAAGTGTATAGACAGTTACAGTTATGAATTATTCAAATCCATTGAGAAAGAAGCAGCCTTGCATTAGCTAATGTTAGGGAAAGGTTTCTCTCTCGGTGAATTCACTTAAGAGGAGTCTGTTATTATAGGCAACACTTCGCTCCAGTTCTGAGCATGGTGTATCTTTGGTAGAAAATTGGACATATTGGACCAGATGAGATAAGATGTCAGTCAGACTATTTGACTATTTTGCCATTTTGATAATACTGTAAGGATGGTTTTTCATTGACTGCTTTGTTTTCAGTTCTGTGGTCAGATCAGAACTGCCATGAAAAAGCCAAAGCCATTATCAAAACCGATACATCTTTGAACAGTTTTTCCTTTGGCTGTTGGTATGCCTGACAACAGGCATTTTTGGACTTGATCATTGAAGAAGTTCAAATGCTTGATTTTTCTTTATTATTTATGTGGGATAGAATGAAACTAGATCAGGCATATGGATCAATGTGAAGATGTTTGGCTACCATGTTTGAGATGAAGCTTGCATGATCCACATTGATTTCAACTTGGTGACCAATTCATTATCCTCTTCTTCTTTGAAGATAAAGACTGATATTGAATACAAGGCTGAGGTTCAAATATTGACATATTATTGTTTTGAGAGAAGTTCCTGTTTGCTTGGCACATTCTATTGGAGCCAATGGGCAATGCGCTGTCTGCCACTGTGCTTGTTGCATACTAGGTATCCAGGCAAGTTTGTTCTGTGAATTTTCCTGGGAAAGATGTGCAGCGACATGAGCATCTTTGGGTTGATACCTCTGAACTTTTCATTTGACTTCAGTTATCAAGGAAATGAGCTGACCTTTTTCTGGAAACCAAGCAAAAAGGAAATTGTACGGTATTGAAATATCATGGAACCATTACTTCAGTGCTATTTCGATAACATCCAAATGGGGTACTTTTAAAAGACCTAAAGCAGGATTTATACATATACTTTCACCAGTAGGAAAAGTGACAATTATGGCTTCCATAGGTTAACTCTAACAGTTTGTGTAGTTGATCCTTCTTTTCACTGAATAAATGGTTTCTCCCATCCATGGCAATGTGTTTGAGGATGCATGATTCCCATCAGAATATGCCACCAAATAAGTTTGTGATATACTTTTATCTATTCTGATGACATTGAACCAAGAAGCATTACATGGTATGATAACCAAGCTGATCAGTGGCAACATTCCTTAGATTGATATTAATATTCACCATCAAGTAACATTCTTTATAATTATAAAGTTTTGGAGACCATCAAGGAATGATATCAAGAGGGACATAATAATTAAATCATGACTATAGAAACTATGCCAAGGAATAAAATATTAAATGCGTATTTGCTGACATATTGTTTTAACTTTATTCATTAAACTCTGTATGTGTTATTGTGAATCTTCTTTGGTCAACATCAGTACAAAAACGTGAATGTGTTATACGAGTCTATAACCGATATTGACCCAATGAGCAGTTTTGTCTACATCATTGATATTCACCACCAGTGCTATCACTATTGGATTACAGACAAAGAAGGGCCCTACTACTGGCATATCAAAAGCGGAACCATCCAGAGGGAGCCACCTCCTCCGCCGTCTCCAGGCACAGTACAGCGAGCCCAGAGGCAGGAGTCCCAGCCCAGTGAAACAGTGAGTATATCGCAAATAGCAAGAAGTCTTAGCAAGAAATGAATTTTCAAAATCTGGTTGTCCTACAAATATCTCCACGTACAGTAAGCCTTATTGACAAAATGATAATTTTCAGTCTTTGTGAGAACTACATGAAATTTATTTTAAAAGCAAGTGTGATTGTTAATTTGTATGTTATATCTGGTTTCAAGTCTGATAGCTTCCATGGTACGGCTGTGTACCCATTGCATGTGGCTGTCAGACTCCTACTTGTAAATTGTGTTACATGTGAAGAAAGCCATTGTTAAGAATGTATATAGCCACCTATAGACTGATATTTTACTGGGGTACTTAAAACTGGACAGGTTTTTAATTAAAAATTTGTAGTCAGATTATCAGACATAGGTCATCAGACATCAGTACCCATTTTAATTTAAAACCGGTCCAATTGTGATACTTTTGAAGGCACAGTTACAGTCAGGTCATTGCAGTTCATATAACTTGATACAGTATAGCAGACATACTGGTACCTTTTTTCACAGAATCGTGGCAGTTTTTATCTAATTGTGCTTGGGCTCAGTGTTGCCACTGGATCCTCTCCTGATTTAGTATTTGGGCCCTGATAAATCTAGGCAGATTTGTTCCAAAACCAATGACCGATTAAAAATAGTTATATATGCTTGATTTGTTGGTGCTCTCAACAGTGCATATGATAACAACTTCTGAGACAGACTGGACAACAGAAGCAAAAAGTATTTATATATTTATTATTTCTTTATTTTTATTTCTTAATTTAGAAGTATAGATACAAAGTCTGTTGGGATGATGTATATTGACTGCACAACCTGACTGTGAATTGCATTGTGATAATCAAGTATGAAAACTAGTACTAGCAGGCCCGTAGCCAGGGGGGGTTCGGGGGGTTCGAAAGAACTGCCCTTTTTTCTGGGAAAAGGTCCACTCTGGGTAAAATTAGATCTATTTGTTTGAGGATTTTATGGTAAAAGGTCCACTTTTTCAGAAAACGAACCCCCCCCTCTGAAATTGCTGGCAACGGGCCTGACTAGTATGCTCATGCAGTGCTCATGGCAGGAACTAATACCAATACAATACATGTAACACTGACAAACCAGTAGGATAGTAAATAGCCTCGTGGTCAGTGCCATAGTGAAGATAGTAACTGGATTTACAAAGATCTATACTGACCCCATATTTGGAACTCTTCTCTATCCAGATGGACGAAGTCTTGTAGTTTTACTACAGCCATTAGGCTTTTATATGCTGATTGCACAGATGAGACCAAGACTCATATAATGCAGTTTATTAAGAGAGAATTACTAAGTGGTGAAACAGTAAGTTAACGAGCTAATGGCAATGATTTTCCTAGATGCTGTATCTATGATTCTACTGCACATAGTATAAGAATAGGAGTTACATGAAAACAGAATTTGAAGTGAGTCATTCTGAGCAAATTATGTGTATCGATTAGAGTTTTGAAGTAGATTTATTAGACGTAATTTGTGGCAGTTTGATAAGGGAAAAGTTTTTTTGTCATAAAAATTTATTATCTGAAATTGACTATAATATGTAACAAAATGGAGGTAAGAAAATTCTTAATTTGTCAGTGAGCCTCTGAGGTGAATGCCACTTAAACCTTTTGCATTTAACTGAGACAATGCCTCTCATATTGGCTTAATAACATTAATGTAAAAGTTACAATTTTTGATTGACAGTTTGTTTCTGTTTCTTAATTCACATAATGTATGCATTGGAATTTGAATAATTTTCAAGTACTCCAATGATACTGCGTTAGACAATGCGAAGTCATTAGTCCAAAGTTTCCAATGTTGGATGTTTGCCACGGACATATAGAATTTCATAACTCAATTCTGTGGTTCACTTCTTGGTCTATTTTCACACATGTTGAGAGATGTTGAGTCGGTGAAATAACATTAGGAATTTCCTGGCTTTAGCTGGAATGCATAATGGTTTCCTTGAAATTGATTTTTGCTTTCAATTTGATCTTTTCATTTAATTGAAGGTCAGACAGATTGATTTCTTGACTCTAAAAGTTATGCAACAGACAACAGCTGGGAATTATATTCAGTTATCATATCAGTTTTATTTTTTTGTCAGGGTTTTATTTTAAATAATAATTACTTTCTGATGGGTGCAAAACTATTTTTGTGTTGGTCTCTGTCCACGAGATTAAGAATTTATATAACTGCTATATACAATGGAATATTTATTTGCATTATTTTTGTTAGAATTTTTTGTCAAAAAATGTATTTCAGGTGGACCCACTGTAAAAGATAGAACCATTATTGTTGCTTTAAAGTGAAAACCTATTTCGATACAGTTATTTTAAATGTTATCTCTTATATAATGTGCTTTGTATTTAATGCCCAGGTTAATGAGGCACCACATGTGCCACAGAGGTCTTCCTTGGAGGTAGAAACTCTAGTTGGGAGTGTCATGACTGCAGCAGACACCAGCAAAGATGACAGCGCCATCTGTGAGGAAGAGGTCCTCCATGAATTTGATCCTCTGGCTGGGTATGATGGCATCTAGATCCACATGATTTGAATATTCCCCCTCTGCCCCCCCCCCCCCCTCATCATCACTGGTTCCATAATGTAAGGTGTTCAGACAAAAAAGAAAGAAAAGTAGAGAAAAAAAAACAAGTGTATATCTTGCTTCTGTAAACAATGATGAAAATCTTTGAAGGATGCAAAGTTTTTGGTTTCCCATCAGCCTTGATGGCTTCACATAACATTTTTTCTCTTTTCTTTGGACGCCTTATAGTATATTCACTTTTACTAATCCAGTGACTAGTTTTGTATCCTTATTCTTTTTTGTTTCCAAGTTTTTCTTTCAAAAGCACATGCCAAGCTTAGTGGTGGTGGTGAAGAAGAACACAGAAATAATATTTGTTCATAATTACACATAATTATTATTTACTTATATTCAAACATTTGGTAGCTTAGTATATGCTACTATTACTAATTGCTGCAGTACCACCCATTCACTGCTTTCTTTTCTTTTTCAGTAACAGGTTATGGGTTTTTACATCTGTCCATTTGACAGCTTTGCTACCATGTTTACACTAACCTTGACTTATCCTTTCTACACAAATACAACCAGTTGGAGAAGGAGAACCAGTGGATTTATCTACAAAAGCCAGCTTTTTTTATTTATTTATTCCAATAATGTTTGGAACCCTATCAACATATATGCTATAATCAGATCAAATTGATATTTTTTGGTAAATTAACTGACAAAAAGAAAAACAAATTGTTTCAGATGCTATGTGAAAAATATTAACTTAACACATACACACATTTCTCTAAACTTTGTACAGCTCCTGTGCTAGCTGGTTCAAATTGTGTATTTATGCAGCCACAGAATGATAGGGTTCCAAATTTTAGTGGTTAATCGAGCATGGAGCTCTTCTGTTTTTTTTTTTTTTTTTTTATTTATTTACTAGCACCTACATGGGACATACGTAGTGTTTATTTAGTCTCCAACAAGTTATCACAATAGTTCTGGTTTATAAAGCCTATACTAACCTCTTGGTTTATTGCTTTCTTTCCACTCCCCCAGGATTCCATTCCTGATTCTCCTAGTAGCACCGACTCTGACTGCGACCCACTCCAAGCTTTTGAAGGTCATGCATTTAAATATGCGGCACAGTCCCTTAGTTCTCTGTAAGCAATCTGTCTTTGATTATTTATAGATACAAAATACCAACTGAAGTGTGGTCCCTTATTGTAAGAACATATTTTATTGGTAATATATTGGCTGAATTTATTTTATTTTATTTTATGCCTTCATTTGAGTTTATCCCCACCCACCCTTCGATATTGTAACTATTTAAAATGTTTTTCATGTCAAAAAAAATTTACTTTGGGCTTTCACCCTGCATCCGCCTACCATTTTGGAAACCTTTGATAAAGTGAGAAAAAGCACAGTTGTTCTTTTTGCTGCATTTTGAGGGAATGACAAAATGAATTTGAAATAATATGAATAAAATAAGTAGTTCCATTGGTTGGTTTTACATTTGGCACACGCTGTAATTATTTCAGAAGATTTGGAAACATCTTTTACATTAAACAAAGAAAATGACTAAGATTTGTGTATCAGAGACTTTATAACCTAATATTTCTATTTTGCTCACATTTTTGTTAATAGTTTATGTATGTGGTTTCTTTTCTTTTTTCTGGCACCATGTTTTTAATACAATTCCAATACTAATAGTCTGAGATTTTTATTTTATTGGCAATATAATAAAATAAGGATGCCATCACTTAAAAGATTATAATAATAATTTTTAATATTAAGGATGATTATTTCTTTTTTATATGGCTCAATATAGAAAGATACAGATTACTACACTGTAGTTGTAAGTTAAAGAATTTTTTTGCGTGATTTTTTAAAATTTTTATTATAAATTTTTTACCAAAATAGCAATAATCCATGATTCTGTCTTTTAGAAATGCACCAAATGCAATCTTTAATTCATTAAACAGCACACAGCCGGAAGGCCAGTTACAATTCCAAGAGGGTGCTTTGGAGAGTCCCACATCAGAAACAGGAGAGAAACCAATCAGATTTGCTGTTAGATCTCTTGGTTGGGTGAAAATAGCCGAAGAAGATTTAACTCAAGAAAAGAGTAGTCGAGCCGTTAACAAATGTATTGTGGACTTGTCACTGGGGAAGAATGATATCAACGATGTGGTGGGAAGATGGGGAGATGTAAATATATTTTTAATTGTTATTATATTTTTTTATCCAAAAATATGCGAGAAAGATGAATCAAAACTTTTTGGTGCCAAAACTTATGACAGATTTGCTTGATGCGCAGTCTGTTTCATAATTTCACATTTTATTTATCTAGACTAGACTTTCTCTCATGTTTTCAAATGGTGAACAATATAGCAATGCTCATAGTCTCTAAAAAAATATTTTAACATTTTCTATTAAAAATGCTGTGGCATATAAGATTATATAGAATAGTCTCTTCATAAAGAATTTTGCTTTTCTAATAATTACCTTAGTAGCATTGTAATAAACAAGTAGATATTAGAAATCAATTTATTTATACAGTTGCTACAAATAACCACTTATTGCATTTGGAATCCTTGTACAGCTAGCATTTTGCTACATATTAGGCATTGGCATATATATTTTTATGAACACATTTATCAAAATGATTTTCCAGGGAAAGGATCTATTTATGGACCTTGATAGTATCAGCCTGAGGCTTGTAGACCCTCAAGATTTTACAGTTCTTAACTCCCAGTCCATACACTCTATACGAGTGTGGGGTGTAGGGCGAGACAACGGGAGGTAAGTACATTTAATTTAACTTTTCTATCAGGATTAACCATATATAGTCCTTCATGCATGGCGTGATAGTATAGACAAAATCTATAACGCATTTGACAAAACAAGGGAATCTGATATTGGATTTTTATCAAAATTTTCTTTTAATGTTTTAGTTAGACTTTTTATAACTATAAATTTGGAAAATCGAGTCCCAAAATTATTTTTGAATTAGCTGCACAGTGGAGTCCAAAATCTTGATTATCTGCTTCAAAAATTATATCTGTGCAGTGTGTTAACCCAATGAGTTCAATAAAACTTTGCAAACTTTCTCCCATGCTTACTAGAGAGAGGTAACCATTGATGTTGGACTCTGACAGAGTATTAACCAAATGTTCTTCAAGCTGAATGTTCTCTCTCTAAGCTAATGATATGAATCCATCTTGACAGAAACTCTGGAATAGTTTTCTAAATTTTTTTATCGCCAAATATTTAGTTTTTAAAAGAATACATATATTAAGGAATCATTGGCAATGTTATTGAAATTTTGATATTTCCTGAAAATGAATGGCATTGTGTTGAAAAATTTTAGGTAATTATAATCCCCAACCCTGTAATTATTTAGTGGCAGTGCAAAATAAGATTCTGAAACTTTTCAAAAACAATTAATGAAAAGAATCTTTTGGAACCAAGGAATCAGGGCACTTAATTATGTTTATTTGTAACTGGAAATATCTGTGATCTAGTTTCTGTCAAGATTTAAATTCTTTGGCAAGCTTTAGGTATATGTGCTCTTAATGTTCCAAGCATCCAACTCTAATGCTTTTACATGTGGTTATTTAAAATGTAACATGTTCACTTTGAATGTTAGCTTTATGGAAAAGATGTGATTATTAAGCTTAGTTCTGGCAAAAAAAGCTGGAAAAATGTTGATATTTATAATCATCCTTGCCTTTCAACTTTTAGGTTGCTTTAATTTATTTTGCATATACGTAGAATGCTACATTTACTCTTGTTGTATGGTTGTCTCCACGTACTTTTTTAAAACTTTTTTTTACTGAAAATAAAATCAAATGTTCTTTGGTCAAGTTTATTTCCTGTACATTTCTAGTGATTTTTGCCTTTTGGTTCAAAGTTAAGTTCAAGTGGCCCTTATGGTATATTCGTATTGAAATTGTTTTAATACCTTAAATGTCAAATCACATGGTTTTGTTTCTGTCATAAAATGTGCCAGATAAATGTTGTAATTAAGGAAATTCTCATTTCCCCAAACTTACAGAATGGTTATGGTTACTGTATGCATTCATATTTATTATATGTGACCCTGAGAATATACTGTTATTGACTTCTACATATAGAGACATAAAAAATGTCGGCCAATTTAGATGTTGTCACCCTGAGTTTCAATTTTTAGGAAGCTAATTTGTCTACTATCAGCAGAGGCAAACTGATAGTAGATAGGTGAGTTTCCAGTGAACTTTGATGCTCAGGGTGCAGATGTTAGATTTTGGCTTGTTTTACATTGTGCTTCGTTTGCTTCATTTGCTACGTTCTTGTCAGTATTTAAATATGTCAGTTGGCAGCTGATTGGCTGATCTGCTGATACTTGTTTGTGTTTCTTTTAAAAATACAGTAAATGTAGGGGAAAGTTCTTGGATTTTTAGTCACTGTCATGTGGTTACCTTTGATCTGAGGCATGATATGATCTGAGAATGATATACAAAACAAGCATTGACTTTTGCATATACATGTATCTTTTTTGTTTGTTTTTTGTCATGTTAGATGTATGTCTGTATTTTGAAAGACGGAATCAGCATTTTAGTGAAGTTTTATAATAAGGCATTGTATCTGAAATATACCCTGTATTGTATGTTGTATTCAGAGGACAATATAAACATTTTTTTTTGGGGGGGGGGTCTTTGGGTTGTAAGGGAATTATTTATTCGAAAGCCCTATATAAAATGTTTCCAAAGAAACGCAGCTTTGAAAATATAATATGTATTTTAATTTATTACTTTCTTGCAGGGATTTTGCATATGTTGCAAGGGATCCTGTCACGCGGAAGCACATGTGCCACGTGTTTCGTTGCGATACACCAGCAAGACAGATTGCGAATACCCTAAGAGACATTTGCCAAAAGATTTTAGCTGAGAAAAAAGAGGATGCGCAAGCTGCTGCCAATGGCACTGCTTTGCAGAAGATGAGCGTAGCCAGGCCGGATAATTTACCCAACTTGAAGAAGACCAGTGACACAAATGGACAGAAAATTACATTCGAGAGTTTGTATCAAAGTAAGGAAATTTCCTTGTGTGAGACAATTTACAAATTGTGAACTATGATGTCTTTAGTACAGTTTTTGTTTATCATATTGTATTTTAAGTTGTAAAAGACTGCATTTATTGTCATATGCACTTGCAGTTTTGTCTAAATACTACCTTATTGCATGTACATGTTAAACTTCTTTTATTTAAAAACCTAGTTCAGTTGGTAGACTTAAAGTAAAATTGATTTCAGGGTTCAACAAATACTAAGACATATATATTTGGTGTCTGTTGTGTACAGGAAATCGATACGGCTTTGGATGCTTTATTTTTATGCTCTCATATCTCAAACAGATATAGCTACTGTAACCAGTTTTCTGCTCTATCTCCACTACCAAACTAGCAATTACACAGTTGGGTGTTTGGTATATTTGGATCTGAATGTCTATTAGATGAAATCCCAGTTGGCTAGCAAAACCAGACATAACCTTTCCTTCCCAGGCAGGCTTCCAACTGAAATCTCACTCGAGGCAAAACGCCAAGTGGCATCTTGCCTGGAGAGGTAGAAAATCTATTCTGGATTTGAGTCTTCTCTTTTTAGATGCGGCTTTCCCCACTCCAATGGAGGAGCCAAAGAAAGTGATCAAGTGCCATTACCTTGGCTCCGCAGTTGTACATAAACCCACAGGCGTTGATGTCCTGAATGCAGCTATTGATAGGATATACGCCAAGGTGCCACCAGAGAAGTGGGTCTTCGTGGATGTGGGCGTGGCACCTTCTACTATCACGATAAGCGAACACAAGGTAAGAACTCAATCTGTAATATGCTTTTGGATTTCACTTTTAGGGCTTGTGATTTTGAAAAGACTTCATACTTGGTAAAATGATAGAGAAATTGGATTTTTTTTTATTATTCTAACATCTGATTTTACATATTTTATCAGTGTAACAGAGCCTTACACTCACAATTCTGTTAGATGAATATTGAAGATATGACTATTTGATTTAATGTTGTTTTGTCTGATATAATAAAATTAATTAAAAAAGAAAAAGGTCCTTATATCAATTGATGAGCTGTAATTTGATTGTTTTGCTCTGAATCACTATGACAACACTACTGGTTTTCATCATAGAAAGGTGCAATATATATATTTGCAATAAGGATTTGTTATCATTATTATTATAATTATTATTTTAACAGAAAGCTGAGAACATTTTGGTGGAAAGCAGAGTTCGCTTCCTGTCTTTCATGGGAATAGCCATGAAAAATGTTAAGTAAGTCAAATTGCAATAATTATTTTTGCATTTTATTTCCAATTTGACCTTAACTTGTACTGGAAATCACTAATGATTCACCTATTACAGTACAAGCCCAGTTTGATTTGATACAATGACATTGCCTGATCTATATGACAGTGTTTGAGAATTGAATTATTAACTGTCAGGCAATTCAGCATATTTGTGCAAACCCAAATATGTTGTTTTTATCTAGATATTTTTATATAGGTGTAAACTGATATTTTTCTCCCTTTTTTTCAGACTTTGTGGGTACATAATGCACAATGCCAATGACCACTATATTGCCCATGCATTCCACTGTGAGCCTTCTGCAGGTGCCCTTTGTAAAACTATTGAAGCAGCTTGTAAGGTAACAATATAGAGAGAAATTAAGACAAAATATGTTCTAGACACACATAATTCACACTTTCAGTGGGAAATAGGGCACGTATCTATAGCACACCCCTCCCCTTCCAACTTTCTTGTACGAAAAATAATTTTAAAAGTTGTTTTTTTTTTTTTTTTTTTTTTGCAATTTTTAGGTTAGTTTTTCTCAACTATTTATTCATTTTTGCATGAACATTTGTGTCTAGTGCGTTCCTGATATGCAGTTTGACAGTACACTGTCAGTATATTTCACCATTTAATATCATCAGTGTTGTTGTTGTTGTTGATCTAAATGTACAACATGTTTAAGAGATGCATGTCCTATTTCTCCTTAAAACATTGCTTAATTTTTCTCAGTGCATATGAGAATGTGCATGTTTATATCTAGTAAGTTGTTAGAAAATTGGTAGCATATTTGGATAGACTTATTGCATAACGCTTCAACATAGGAGTACCAGTATTATATGTATATACATTATTTTATATTATATATATAATAGTTATATGAGTTTGACAGATTGTACTTAGATGTCCCTCTGTTACCAGTGATAATAGATTTAGGACAGCATATTTTGTGCTACATTTTACCTCACAGTAGTAGATATACGTCAGCATCAAAGTTTTAGTTTTTTGTGTAGAAATTGAGTAATCTATTGCATGTTTTCATATATTTGTGTGATATTTTGTTACAGCTTCGATTCACCAAACTTCTCGATTCACACCCTGCTCCGGCTGAGGTAAAAATGATTTTTAAGGCCATGTTGATTAGAAAGGAACATTATTACACCGTCAAATTTAGAAGTGTTTTTATCCTATACTACGAGGACTTACGTAATTTTTCAAAATGTTGCTGTATTCTCCCCCATTTGATTTTCCAAATTTAACCATTTATTTTAATGGAATCTGACTCCTGTCTTTTCTTTGTTGTTTAACATAAAAACATATGATTTGCAGACTTTCAGTAATTTTTAGCTGTCCAAAAATTACAAGCAGATTCTGATTCTCCCTCAATTTTCTTGTTCCTTCTTCCTCAGTGTAAAAAAATCTAGATCCTCTCACATACAATTTTCCTGCATTCCAGTGGAGAACCTTGAAATCGTCCAGATCATTTTGTTTAAGAAGTGTATTGTCTGAAATTGCTCAAAAGACAATCCAAAACATGGCTGTCACCAAATAAACTTTCAAAGCTGCCCAATGTTGTTTTTTTTTTTTTTTTTTTTTTTTTTTTTTTTTTTACCAGGCCACTGGCTTTAATCTCATGCAATCTTACAGGAAGTGGATATGAGAGGGCTTAGATTCATATCAAATTGCTTCTTCCTGCAGTGTACCTCTGTTTATATTGAATTTTAATTGATTCACTATGAATGGAATGTTTCTAATGAACATGGCTTTAGGATTTTTATCCAACATATTTCATCAGGTGACGGGTGTTGAATGAGTTGTATTGCAGTGCTAATTGTGATACAGTTCTTTATTTATTTATTTATTTATTTATTTATTTTTTACCTTTTAAATGTTGTTAAAGTGCTTACAGCATGTGCAAATTATTTGTCTCTGATGTGGATAGCTTAAAATGAATTTTGGCTAGTTTGCTATATGAGTTACTGTATTTTCCATAAAATAGGCATTAGCTTTTTCATTTTGTACTTAAGTAAATTAGATATATGAAATTGAACACTTTAATTTTGAGAGCTCTTTATAACTTAATGTGACCATAAATGAAATATAACTGTTATTAATACATTAAATTTTCATTGTGTAGTGACATGTAATTTTAAGTTTGCCAGTATATTTTGAATTCATGCATTTGCATACTATTACTGTATGAAGAATGCAGTAGTTCACTAATCCCTTTATAAGTTCCAAATACTAGTACAATTTTATGCAGATATGAATGACCTATATGTCATTGGGGATCCATCGCCAAACTATAATGGCTTATTTCCATTAATATTTTATTGGTGTTACATACATGTCATTTTAAACCAATCCCATGTTATTGTTGTTGTAGCTGCGGTATCAGAAATGCCTGGATGCCCACCCACAAACACCTGACCACAAGAAACAACAACAAAGCAAGGTATGTGCATGATTATCACACTGAGACATTGGGGTATCAGAAGTGTGTATTATAGTTTTAAATGAAACTGAAAAATATGTTTCTCAGCCCTGTAAATTTCTGACCTTAATGATCAATCAATCTTTATTCGGCAGCTTCTAAAATATTGTTTTTATTGTACATGTACAATGTACTTATTATAATTATATGTAGTTCTTGAATATTGAATTTAGATAAATTCTATTACATTCATTGCTAATATTTATTGAACTGCCAGGTTGCCAACTTTATCATTCTTATAAAGTAGAGATATGTGGAGTGTTAGTCATTTTATTAACAATAGAACAATGGTTAAATTTATCAATTGAAATGTGTGCAATTATTGTTTATACAATTCTTGTTTATACAGGTTTACTTAAGTTGGCAATTTTGATATTGTTTCGCTACTAAATATATGGATTCATTTTATAATTTAGACAAATCATATTTTCCAGGGTATTGGTGCTACATTAAAGTCTGTTTTTGGAACTCTTGTTCCTAAGAAGAAAAACAGCAAGAGCTAACCATACCAGTACTGTCACCTGGTGGCAGTTTATGAGCGAAGATGAGAAAGAGATTGCACTTTTAGTTTTCATTGGTCAAGGAATCCTACCCCGCACCAAATATGTAACTTGTCATCATTGGCTATGATAGGAGGGCTTTAATTGCTGCACAGCACAAAGACATGTCTTAACCATGCACCATTCTGTGTGTTGTTGCCAAAGTTGGTAAAATTAAAGCAACTCGAGATTTAAACTTTTGGTACAGGAGATGAAGTCACTGATGTTGTACGTGGGTGGTTCATCCTGAATTTGATGGACATTTGGAATTTATGAGAAGAATTCATTCATAAACGTTGTTATGCCATTCGCAATGAAGACTTGGTTTGAAAAGAGTTTGAAAAAAATTATTTGATTGCAGTGTTTTATAGCTTCTAGTTTATGAATAACCAGCTTTCTAATTTGGGTCAACCGCAGGCTACGGCAGTGCTACATGTATAAACATATGACGATGAAGTCTTGCTGTACAGTTACATGGTCATTCAGAAAAGACAACACGAGCCCTAGAAAACATTGCCTTAATATACAAAATGATATACATATCACAGAAGAAATGACGTATCATGGAAGTAACTATGGAAAAGTTTATCATTAACCATTGGGTCAGTAATTTACTTCATTGGAAGATTAATATAATAAATTGACACTAATCTCAATTTTTGTGCAATAATATGAAAACAGTTAAACAAAATGTACAGCTGGCTTGCAGCTGTAGCTACATGAGATTACAGTACATCCAAAGACAATCAACCATATTTGTCAGCAAGGACAGGCCTCATAAGTAGATTTATTATCAGTGCAATGGGTATTAATCAGGCACACAAACTTCCTTGTGTATTCTTATTATTTTATGAATACTTCATTTGTACATGCTGAATATGGGCTTAATATATATGCTTCCTGTTCTTGTTAATTTGCACAAATTATGATCAACATATCGGTCACAGCTCTGGAGGTGGTCTTCAAATTGAAGTGCACAGCTGTTAAATGAACATTTCTATTGTACCTTTGGAGATGTCCATGGCATTTATGTGTATTTGTTTGTGGCAGTATAAAATTCTGGTACATCTCCCTACTTGCTTTGTATCCCATTGAACAGCCAGAGCTTGAGGAGTTTTATTCCTTGAGTGAGAATTCTGTATGCATTTATACTCCTGTTAGTCCTTCACCTTGTATTCTGCTCCATCTTGAGAAATTGGGAGTCTTCCAGGTTTTGTAATTCTTGCACATTATTAGTCTTCACAAAAAAAATGAAATCTAGTCCCATTAAGAGAGGAAGTTGATGCATTTTAGTGTAAAGGTATAGGGTAAGAAATACACACACACTCCACTGAACATATAAACTTTTATTACATTCTGTATCAAATTGCATGAAACCTTGTACGTTAAATGTAGCACAGGAATTATGTTAGTACAGTTGAGCATTTAACACCTGCAGGGCCCAAATTAACAAATTAGAATGATAGTTCCCTACTCTTGCAGTGCAGCGTTATTAAAATGAGTTATAATTGTAATTTAAAAAGCTATGTGAAGTATTTAAATATCTAGACTTAGTATTAAAACGTGCTTGAAGCATTCTTAAAACTGCTCAATGTATGTTATGATCATATTCCATTTGCTGAGAGAAATTGCTAAGAAAATAATTAGTTAATGTTTGTGTGTCACAGTCTCATTGTTCAAAGTCATATCATGTGGTACATGTAAAGGACATAAGAAAAAAATCATGTTAATTATAAATTTTGTATCTAAGTCCAGTAACCTTAAGGTGTACATTTTCAGCTTCTGCTGTGATCTGCATACTTCAGAATTCAAAAGGATACTACCACAAGTCATCTTTTTGGGGCATTGGCAATGATGTTTACTGAAATACTTATATGGTGAAATGCTGTCAAATTTTCCCACGTGTATACTTCTGTATTAAGATATTGAATTTGTGATAGCTCAACAGTCTCATGCATTAGGGTATGTTCATTTAAAGGGGAAAATGAATCTAAGTATCAGTTAAGTTCAAATGGGTAACAACACTGGCCCACATCCTCACATTTGTGAAATTTAGGGGAGATGTTGGTATGGAAGAAAAAATAATAATTTTGAGATTTATTATTATAGTACATTACTACAGTATATAATTAATATTAACTTTATACATATACATGTATACTGGTGATTCCATTTAAGTTCACCCTTTCAAGAAAAGTGTAAATTTATGTGCAAAAGTCAAAATCATTGTACAAATTATCATTCCTGACAACCACGGTGGTGAACCATTACTCCAAATCAGTTTTAAGGAAGTTTTTTTTAACATGATTTATTAATAAACCCAGATAAGATTCGTGCATCCAGCTGTTACTTATACATGTATGTAAGAAAAACTTGTCCAGAGGGATATTCAAATCGTCATATCACTGTTTGTCAAATGATCTTTTAGGGTCATTTGTTGTAAATAAGTAACTGCTTTAAATATATAACTAGAATTTTAAATGAATGTGTGATACTTATAGACCTAATGGCTGCATGATAAAGAGATGAAATGTACTGATGAGTGAAATTAGATTTTAAGACGTAAGTCGATTCCTTTACTCTCTATGTAAAGGTGAATGAACATTGTATTGAGGATATATATAATTGAAGAGTACCATATTTAGTAGCATTTAGTCTTGTAATTTGTCAGAAGTGGTTATTTCAATGATCTCAACTAGTCACAGTATGAAAATCGGATCTTGTGATTAAAGGTTATACAAGAACTGATAACCTCAATTGATAAAAATCTTGTACTTAGATAAGCAGTTGAAAAAAAGTTCAGTAAGGGTACTGCCTGGTCACATTACCCCTAGACCACGCATCCCTGTAATTTCTAGTAACTTAAGTCAATGTTCAGTTGCATTTGTGATCATTTTGTGCTATTTTTTGTACTGTTTCAATTAAAGAAAGTGGAATATCTAAGAAGAGTTTCTAACAAGCAAATATAGTAGAATATACTGTATCTTATAGACCCGATGCTTCTAATGAACTTCATGTACTATTAACTGAGAGCATATGCTTGTAGTTATTTAACTTGTCCGGCAGCTTTATTCAGCTCACAGTTACTGATTATAAACCTACTTTAAATATTAATAAAATATACCTATTAAAGTTTGCATGAATAAAGCCATTTACCTAAAAACCAAATCTTATTTTTTGTTACTAATTTTTCTCCAAGGGCCATCACTAAGCTTGTAACAGTACGTAATAGTACGGGTTTCCAGGAAAGCAGAGATAAAAGATAATACCACAAAATTGCTTTAATGGAAAACTTGATTTATTTTTAAAAAATTGCTGCAAAAATATACTTCAAACACATTTTATTCAATAATAAACAATACTGAACATGAAACAATGAAGTTCATAAATGAACAAGTGTCTTGCTTGGTACATGAAACCAAAAAAAAAAAAAAAAAAATGGCAACAATTGTCATTTGCTATATGTCTCAGCACCTGCACGTCACAGTCATGGAGACAAAACCCTGAGTATTGTAAACAATGCCAACTCTTATTTAATTTTAAGCAATATGAATGTCTCCTCTGTAAGTAAAAACTCAACTTACAACTATACAATGCCCGTCTTTAGACTCGGGGTGTTTTGAAAACATTACACACTAGGGCTCTGCTTATTTGCAAAATGGTGTGCTCGGAAGACTGAGAATTGACCTCAATTAATTCTTTTGTTTCAGATATTTGATTTGATTTGATTTGATTTGATTTGATTACATATTAAAAAATGAATGCTTTACAAAATGCCACTATTTATAAACTCGGAGTTGTTTTAAAATATGAATTAATTATAAAAGTATGACAAAAATAAACTGAGAACATAAATTGCCATCAAAGATTAATTTTGATTTTCTGTATGCCATCTTATCAAACAAAACAGATTAACTTAAATATCATCTTAATATAAGACAAACTTAAAAAACAACATAAACAATTTGACACAATTAAAACTGGAGGTTCAGCAGTCAATTCCATCATAGCCTGGTAGTTTAAAATAGCATTTTCAGGGGCCGATCCAGAGAAATTTTCTGACAGTCTTCCAAAGTATCCTTGTAGATCCATCCTCTAGCTATCCAAAATTAGATACCCATCAATGTAAACTTGAAAATCTGACCATCTTTTGAAAGGCCCAGAAGGCTTCAATCCGCCCCTGATTTTTTATTTCGAAGTCAGCATTAGTGGAAAAGCACGTATTTCCAAGTTTGTATGGGTACATGTACTATTACTGGACATAGTAGTTTGTTCTCCTCCTTGTCCTCATCCTCTTGTCTCAGCTTCCAATCGGTTACTTCTTTTTGCTATGAAAAACAGAAAAATATAAGTATAATGCAATGCATTCAAGTTGAATTGAGTTAAATGTTCTATTTAGTATGCCATCTGAATGTCTTCATTGGTTGCCTTAATCATCAATTGCCTTTCATCATCAATTTTATTTTGACAATGTTTTAATTGGCAAAGGTACAGCAGTGAACGACAATTTTAAAAATAGCAAAATTAACAATTATTAATTAACATCTCTGCAACAAATTCAACAAACAATATTTATGAAAAAGAAAATTTCAAAAACTCAGTCTAATTACCTGTGCAGTAAAGTTGAAGAATTAAAGACACTCCAAACAGATAAGTGTGAATCAGTGATCACTGCAGCTAGTATAAACTGTTCAAGGTGCTTTCACAACCAAACCAAGTTAAACTGTAGATTTCAAATAAGACCATTTCCTGTCTAAATTAGCATGGTTTTGAATGCACCTGAATTCAGTTAAAAGGCAAAGCAAAATGTAATACTGTAACATATTGTAAAGTTAATTGCAGTTAGCTTCCTGAAAACAAAGCCCTCAGTGATAATCAAGACCCATGTAGATGATCTAAAATTTGCTGGAGGGGGGGGGGGGGGGGTCAGGCACTTGCCTGAAAGTTGATTAAATCTTTAATGCATAAGTTTATTATGAAGAAAATTAAAAAGAACAGAATCAAAACAATCAATCAAATTAAATTTGTTAATCTTCTATAAAAAATGTCAACTACTGATTAACTAAAAGGAAGCATTTGTTTATTTGTCATTAGGAGTCAATTATATAGAAAGATAGTTGGCAAACAGCACCTCTATCATTCAAAGCTGGATTTAAATATCTGCAAATGAGCTAAAGGCAAAAATCATTCAAACTGTACATCAGTGCATGTATTATTATTATAGTTATTTAAAGTTCATTGCTGAATATATATATATATAACTGATACAATTGTTTTTAGTATTGTTTTTTAAAAGGATTATAGAGAAGCAATTGTTTATATTAAGCATGAACCTAAGCAAATTTCAAGAGCTTATAATTGCATGTGCATCCAATCAAATTAATTTTAAAAAGAGAGAGAGAGAGAGATTAAATGAACAGTGAAGTTCAAAGTAGTCTTATCCTCAAACTAAACACTACAAAAAAGTGAATTAGTAAAGTTGATTCAGCACAAATAAAAATCATAAGTCCAAATGTTATGTGCAGATTCATCACTCCTGCATCAAAAGGTGCAAACATGTTAAAGTCAAGCTTTCTCCGTTTATCAATTCACCTGAAAGGTTTCGGATGGTTCACTATGTGAAGCTCCATTGTTTTTGTTTTAGCTGTCGCAGCTTGCGTAGACTTTGACGTAGAAACAACAGATTCCCTCTTCTTTTCCTTCAAGGCAACACCGGAGCCAAAAGCCACGCCTGATTTCTTCGGAACTTTAACAGCAGGCGAGTGTGACTGATGCTGCTTGGTAACATGCGCATTCGGCAACGAGACTGTGGCCTTCCGCTGGGGCGATAACCCGCTTTTCCTGGCTACAAAACTACTCTTGGCTCTTTTTGGTGACTTCTTGCGAGGTTTGCTGTTTGGTTTATTGTTGTCATCATCAACGTCCATCTTTTCTTCACCACCAAGTATTCCCATAGCTCTGGCCCTTGCAAGGACATCCTTAGCAGCTTCCTGTTTATCCTCAGCCTAAAAAAATGGAATGTCACATAAAAAGATACCACTAAAGTACTAAATATTTCTGTTGTGTTTTAAAATATCATTTAGCAACAATACTGCGTTAACAGAAATCACCCAAGTATTTATTTTTATATATATAATACACATATATGGGAGCATTAAATTAAGTCATCCAATGTTAAGATTAAGTATTCATACATATGCCATCAGCAAAACTGCACATCAAAACAAATAATAACATAAGCTGTTTAATTTTGTAAAACATAAGTCTCCAATACGGACATGGGATATCTGATATGCTTATTGCAATGCATTTCCATACCTCTCGTCCCACTACTGCACAAAAGCACCCTGTCATTTTTGGTGTCTTCTCAAACTTGAGAAACCTGTCTCTCACAGTGCGAGGACTCGACTCCAGGTCTTTCTCCACAATAGGAATGACTGGAGGAATGATCCTGAACTGGCATTTTCGGTTGTTGTTTTGTTGGTTGATTGTATTTATTGCGTGGATGGCTCTTGTGATGACATCGTCGTTCTCTCTGGACACTATTGAGTGTGTCGTATAGACTACTGCTTGTACTCGAGGTACTGAGAAAAAAAAATCACATGTATACATCATCTGGTGCCTCATCTTCTCTGATCATTATCATGAACTATGTCATATGTTAAACTTAGGAGAAAAATGTATGTCATCCTAAACACATGAAAAAGACTGTGTGATTGGTCAATATACTTACATCTCATGGCATGTCTGAGAGCAGCCCCATTATTGGCCATCATTTCTCCCATCCTGGAGATGTCCGTCTCTCCCACAGACAAGTTCTTCAAGATTGACATGTCTGGTTAAACAATAATTTTTTTAATGACCATTCAAAAATTACATTTTGAAAAATATGTGTATCAATAAAATTTATATCATTTCCATCTGATTTGAGACTTGTGAGGCAGGCAAAAATTGTACAGTATATTTTAACTTTAAGTTTAAAATGTTCACTTTTTTATGAAAATTTTTAAAAATCGGATCAACCCTGTGACAAAACTAACTTTTTTACATCTATCAGACTGATTTACTGGTGCATGTATGAATATATGTGGCAACGCCTGCCATTTTTCTTTTTACTTTAAAAATACAATCAGTTTATTTATCCACATATCAACCCACCAATCAAAACATCAATGGTTACATGTTAATAAAAAGAAACTCATTTATTAAAAAATTAAATTTAATTAAAAAAATTATTTAAAAAAACAGCACCTACCTTCTCCTTCATTGACAATAAAATCCACAGGGTTACTGATACCAGACTTGCTGCACTTGGCTGTGACCAGGATGGCTTTCACATTCCTAAACCTCACATCATCTGGAGCTACACTACTAAACTCTTCCATTATCAGCTTTACATCTGGGGTAACCAGTCAAGGAATATATCAACTGTGCAAGACTCTTATTACCTGATGCAGTGCCAGTAGGGATATTTTTAGAACTTTTTTTTACTACAAAACAATGATTTAAAAGCAACACCAGGCTGAAAATCCTGCATACATGTTTTACCAAATTGAATATGCTTTTAAAATGTCACAAATATTTCAGTAGGCAAAAATCCTGTAATTTCATTACTACAAGTATAACAGCAAAACATGTTAGTTTGTAGTACCTTCGTTTACTGTATCATTATTCTAAAGCTTCCCTTCCCTCAAATACCAAACTTCTACCCCCCCCCCCCCCACCCCACACACACACAGAATATCTAACACACACAGAATATCTACACCCTAATAAAAGGATACTGTTAGCACCAAGATGCTTCAGTGTCTCCTTGACCTGAGCAAGGTGGTCATCTGACTGGACACCAAAGCCATATATTGTCCCGCAGGTCTCCTGGGTCAAACTGGACACATGGGCCAGGGTCAGTCCAGAGGTCACATTGGCCACTGCAATGTCATCACCTTCACTGACCACTGCCTTTATGGAGTGAGGACCCAGACAACTGGACTTGTCCTAAATCAATATAATTAAAAAATTGTATGTTAAAAATGCTGTCAAATTTGCCTTCTTATTTCAAATGCAAAGTGTGATCATTCTGAATTTTCTATAAAATTAGAGAAGGTCAAACTGATACTTTTAAGTAATTCTTCTACTCAGAAAATATTTAAAAAAATCTATTTCCTTTGTTAGATTGATTAGTTTCTTTAAAAAAATAATAAATTGCCAAACAAGTAAATATGCTTAATGAACAGCCTACTCCATAATAAAATTTTAAGAAACACGTGGTTTATACATATCTATACAAAAAAAAAAATTCTCCACCTGGACAACAATATGGCCACACTCTACTAGAGGATGCTGGGAGATTTCCTGACGTTTTTCGGCAGCAAAAGTCAGAACATTGCTGCAGTGAACGTCTGCCCAGAACTGGTTGCCAACTATCTGCTCATCTGAATCGAAGTTACGAAAGTGGAAGCCATCTTCTTTGAAATGCTCCACTACTGATTGAATGCTGGAATAAATGTGAAAGATAATTTTCTTAATAAATAATTGTAAAAAGCCCAGCTTCTTGTTAACACATTTTTAAAAATGTCCTTAAACCCTGAAAATGGGGCTTAAATTTTTGTTAAGAATCTTGTCTGCACTGCTGATATTCAACCCTAGGAAACATTAAATAATTTTCAACATTCTTTTGACTAGGAAGAAATATTAAAATATTAATCTGTTTAAAAAGCCTACTTTGCAACCATACTAGTAATGAATATTCAAAACCATATCATTTTGAAGTAATACATCAATTTCATCAGCTATGTTAAGCATTCAAAATTAAATAAATACAAAAATAGTTTCCTAAAACAACACCTAAAAAAATCAATGAAACACACAAACAATGTAGTACTGGTAGTCAAGTCTCTCATTTTTAGCTTCTGTGTGAAGAAAATTTTATTGCAAACAGTTACCTTGTTTTGAGCAGATTCACCCAGACAAACACAGGTAGATGTGAGCCTACTTCACTCTGTTCCTGTACAGCCGCTGGCAGCAAGCTCTCTATAGACAGAGCATTATACTTGATTCTGTTTCTGGCCAGGGAAGCATTCAGTTTGGTTTTCACAGAGTACAAAGCCTGCTCTATCTCTGTGATGTGTGGATCCAGCGTCTCGCCTGGAAGCGGCGTGCGTTGCTGGAATTTTCTGTTTTGGAAGTCGTTCAGGATGACCATGACCAAACCAAAGTCTTCCCTGAACTGAAAGAAAGGCAAATTAAGTGAGCAAAAATGTTCATTAGCTTGGTAGTTTATAAAAGGGTAGCGGTCAGTGAGTGTCAACATCTACTCACATCAGTTTAACGAAGGCCTACATCCAGGTTGGCCATAAGCTAACGGTATAAAAGTATTTCGGCTTGTGTTAGATAATTTTCATTTATGAATGCAAATTAAGGTTTAGTAACTCAAAACCCAAATATTTTTGAAAAATCTCCATCAGCATTACAATAATACTGAGATTTAAAATTTTGCTATTGTTATCTTTTTTTTTTTTTTATTTTACAGCAAACTGAGGAATAGTTCTCAAGATTTTTTAATTCATATTTGTGGTAAAGGATGCTGTAAGGATGGCTTATTCAATCTGTCCCTTTGGTGCGCTGCATATAACATTTGATTGTGGTAGATAAGAATGTGATGTTATGCCTCCATTGCTACTGGATGTGCTCTTGTTATTAAGCACACTATAACTAAATTTTACCCCCACTCAATGATTTTACACCTGTGCTTAAAACCAAACACAGCAACATGGCCTAACAAATGACTTAATACAAAAATAATGACATAATTCTTTCATAGTACAGAAGGCAATAATTATTAGATTTCTATACTTGTTGCCTTAATAAATATTTAGGATCAAAACGCGCAATATCCTCAAGTAATTTTCTATTCAACATTGATTTAACTCACAATAAATTCTCATAAAATTGAAAATATTTACCTCAGGGAACTGAGACATGATTGCACAATCATCCAAAAGGTCCTCCAGTAAATTTTGATCTGAAGAAAAAAATATGAGAGATTCAGATTCTATATCCTATAATAATTCCAGCTGTTAATTCAACTGGACTACAGTTCAACATGTAGCATAAGCACTTGCACTTATTTTATTTGCACAATATTATATTTTAAGTGTAAGTATGTCTATGTTGGTCTATAGATGAAAAATTGAGCCAAATGACTTTTTTTAACTTTTAAAAAGATCATTGCTCATTAAAGAAAGCTAAATGGTTCAAGTGAGAAAATCAATTAAGTTCTGAAAAGTGACAGGGCAAAGGGAAAGAAAGATAATAAGATGATAATCACATATACAAGATCAGTAAAACCTGTTTGTATTAGATGGCTAGATTAAAACCAAATAAATGTCAATGCTTCTGGATGGATTACTACATACAGAGATCTTCATGTAAGAACAGAAATATCTTAAATAACATCCAAATCTCAAGTGGCTTTTCTCACGAGACAAAAATCTTCCTACCAATCAAAGTTCAATTTAATCCTGCTGTTTTACAGACCTCCTCACCCACCAAGAAAACGGGGATAAAGTTAATCCCATTGTTGAACACAACCCTCATGTCTGTCCATACACAACATGGTTTTGTTTTCTTTTAGATTTTTAAATTATTGAGACGACCTATCGAATAGCAGAGACGCCTGGATACAATAGGATAGTGCAGGAATCTTAAGCTTTCACCCTCTTGAATTAATCTCCCAATGACACTGTGTCAAGTTTAGGGTGACAAGAATATATTAACTTACTGGCGATTAAAACTGCACTATGTGTGCCAATGTGAAAAGCAATATATATATTCTAAAATGTATGACAAAGAAAGGCATGTCAACTGTCTCATTTGATTTTTAAGTAAAGGTTCATGTCGGTATGACACAGCATAAATTTCCATCCATCATTTTCTCAAATATGCATTAAAACTTAAAAATACAAGTATCTTAAAAAATTCCCAATCTGAAAAAATATGAAACTTCAAAATCATGTAAACTCCCTTAGAACCAAACTGAGCTTTATCTTCAACATAAAATACCTGCAACACTGCCATGTCAATTACTTAAAGTCATTACAGTCACTTTTATCAACACATGCCATCCCCTTATTGTGGTGCTTTTATATCTCAAACTTTGCAAGCTAAACATAAAAGAAAAAAAAAACAGAATTTTGTCAACATCAAGGCAGCTACAACTATAAAACTATATAAAAAAGAGAACATAAGCAGACAAAAAAAAAAAAAAAGAAAACACGCCTATGCTGTTCCTGAGTGCCGGGCAATTTCAGCCAACAGCTCATATCTTAATCAAGAAGTTCTTCCACTCCTACAGTTCTAGGTGAGATTAATACCACTGTCGCTGCGATACACACGCGAGATGAGGAGTTCAAGACTTAATTAACACAGTACTAAATTATGCAAAACCTGCCAAGTAACTAATCTACTAAAACACTAAAGAGTATTGATATCAGTCTGCTTGACAGTTGCCATATAATTTTCTTTCACTGATGAATGCAAACAGCAGACCAAAGTTACGACACGACATTTGTTTTAGGCACCCAAGTCCTGACAGACAACAAATTTTGAATACAAATCTTTAATTGTTAATTTTACAGTAGCTTTTGAATTTAATTAAAATTCTTAAAGTAACACAAAGAGTAATGAAATAAAAAACAATTTAATTTTTTTTTAATCTTTGGACCTTAACTATCATTTACGATATGATTATCTGATCAAGATTCAAACAAAGTGTATTATGTTGAAAAAAAAAACATTAAAGGAGATAACATGCTATGCATACTAGTACCTGAAAGCTCATACAACAGGTGAAAAAAATAAAAAAAAATCCAATTATACTCACATTTCAAAGTAGCAAAAGACAGCTCAAATGTCAGTCGCTTCGTTTTCCCATCAGGAAAATCCAATTTAGGCACCTGTACCATTTTATTTTTATCAAGTTCTTCCTGTTTCTTTCTCAAATATGGATTGTCCTCTTTGACTGGGTGTTTCAGAGCATCGAATATTTTCCCAGCCAAGAGGAATACTTGGTGAGAATACCGACAGGGTTCTTTTCTGTTGAAATCATGAAAGGAGTATGGCCGTTTCTCGTCCATGTTCCGTTTTGGCGGAGAGATCCCCGAGGTGCTGGCGTGACGGCTGACAGCAGCAACACCGTACAGCCCTTGAGATCTGTCCAACTCTAGTATTGGCGGCATAATGACCTCTGACCTGTAAGAGAGATACACAGATAACAATACTGTTGATAGAACCAGCTAAGCACTTGACATTGTGTGTGTATACAGTAATGCTTGATGATTATGTTCCTGGTATGTCTGTTTGGTGTATGCACTGAATATACATATCACAGGTCCTAAAACTCGGACATTTCAGGGGCCCCTTTAGACATTTGTCGGTAATCATGATTGACAACTTCTTATCACTGGATTGGTTGGGCAATAAATGTCTGTATCAACTTGGACACAAATTTAGCAATATTGTAACAATTAAAAAAAAGGAAAATAAAATAGCTTGGTAAAACCTTGTTCTGGGCCTATTGTGGGTATAATATATACAAAACCTGTATACCCCCTCCTTAGCCATGGAATTTTTCAAGAGTGTGCTTGCAAGATAAAGGCATTCTACGAAATATTAAAAGTGACGATTTATGATACTCATAACTGGAGCGCCAATGTGCAGAACCGCAAGTGTAAATACAAACTGGTGTTTGCTCTATGACCGCCTCTGTGTACATTACTGATTATTTACGCAACTGTTAATATCACATCACATCGGCAATGAATTTGTCTAAAAGCCCCGCCGAGTTAATCTTTTGTTTAAACTATCTGATAATACTTATGACAACAGAACGGAAATTTGACAAAATTATTTGAAAGTTACACTATTGAACTGTTAATCCCTTCAAGACATAATCCCTCTTTTTTTTTTCAAGAATAATTCTAGTCTAAGTATGACTCAAAAACACACGCAAAAAAAAAAACAGGCACAAAAAAGACCTGTTTACATTTTTGCTGGTAATGCCTGTAATGGAAAAATAATTTTCAAAGATTCTTCACTTATCCAAAAATCAATCTGAAATAATCCTTTGTACATACATGATGAGTTAACGGTATATGAAACTTTGGCTTCTGGTCACTGTACTAGAGTGGACACTACCAGTACTGGTCACTACCTGTCTTTACCCACCCACTCATCTGGCTGTCCACAAGGCATTTACCAGCCCTAAGATAAACACTGAAAACCCCTTTGGAATGTAGATCAAGGAACCATCCATCCATATCACCATAACAATAACATTAGCGGACATTTACAGTGACAGAACAAATATTATACCTGCAGATTCGAAATTCTTGGAGAGCTGTGTGAATGTTGCCTGAGTATTGATCCTGCCCCCCCCCCCCCTTCCCTCCCCCTTTTAAATTCATTACATTTTAAGTCGGGAATCAACTGCCAAACACTACTACCAGTATGTAACTCGACAACTTGAATTTCTTTAAAGTTATTAAGTTCAATTCATGATTTTTGTTAAACTGAAAAAAAATGCTGGTAAAACAGAAAAGAGTTAATCAAAATTTTCTTCTTCATTTAAGTACCAGAAGAACTTAGTAACCAACACACATAAATACTGCAACACAAAAATGTACCCTTGTAGTAAGAGTTATCTGTTAAGCCAAGCACCAAGTAATCATAAAGTAATTTCAGTCGATAACCTATTATACCCACCGTTTTGGCGAGAGAGTGTGTCAACAACCCAACCCTTGAAAACAGGTAAATACTTTGAGTCACTATGAAGAAGGAATTATGCCAGCTTTGCTTCTACTTTTCTGCCTTTTTCGTTTTGTCTTATCATAATGTAAACACAGGGGCAATTAAGGCAACCCACACTAAACACCTTTTGTATTCATGGAGTTAATTTGAGGAAAAAAGTCAAATCAACACAAACAGGTAAACAATTAAAATAACCCCCTAGGCACGTAAACATCTTTTGTGGAAGCGCAGATCTTTTTTCCGTGTGCTAAAAATAAATTCCTTTATAATTTCTTTTTTTTGCGCAGTTACTTGGAACATTACATCCTGTTACTTATTTTAGATTTATAAAAAATCAATTATCAGAAAAAATGTTCCCATTCATCATTTAAATCATTTTCAATTCTGAAAGGTTCTCCTTTTAACATTTTTTCTCATTATTACAAGTTCTGCTGTTGCTTTTATATTCCCCATTTCATACTTGATAAATAAATATTCTACTTCAAAGGGGACAAAATGAATCTAATAAAAACTGCTGATGCAGTTAGCTGTAAGAAATAAGAAATATCAATCACATCAACCATGGTGGACCAAAAAAAAAAGAAATAAGTTTATATTCATCCTGAGTAAAAGATATCATACATCTTAATATCCCTGATATCCTTTGCCCTGATAAGACCATAAACTGTATCATAAATTAAACTGAGGAAATCAAACAACTGATAACTTACTGATCTCAAGTCACACTTTTTGAAGCCAGGGTATTAACTTATGGCAACCTTATTTTAAGATATATTGTCCATGATTTACCAACCAAATTTAACTTTCTTCAAGAAAATAGCAATGTTTTCTATTGGTGAAATGTTGCTCCAAATATTGCAAATTGAAAATATCAATGATTCATTGAAGCTCCTTAATTCATTCTCCATCATACTACATTTTCATTCAAAGACTCCCATCCGTAATCGATCATTTTTATTTTTAAACAACAATCTAAATATAACTCAAAACAACAATTTAAGAGCAGTGGGGCTGCAGGTTCTACAGTGCTCTCACATTTCACATCAAAAGAGTCTTTCATACACACTACAATGCTCTCTTTTCATGAATAGTTAACACTAACAATGTATGACCTCTCCAGCCACAATGGCTGACCCAGATGAAGAGATTACAGAAAGTTGTTTACCAGTCTTATCTACTGTTACTAGGCGCAGTAAACAGGTCTAGGAAAATGCATCATTTTTTACATTTATATTCTTTAAAAATATTCAAAATAAAGATTTGGAGTCCTCGTTACAACAAAATTGGAAATAACTTATATAAATTTTAGGTAGCATTTTGTTATGAAAATGTACCTTGTATTTTCAATTGCCTGCACGGAAATCCTAAATATGCTAATGCCAGTGTTGAATAAAATCACATCAAAATTTATAAAATAGTTTTAAAACCTTGAGGCCACTTAACTGCTTAATATTTGTACATTTTTACATTAATTTATAAATAAAAATCCTCACCTTTTTCAAATCCTCAGAAATGAATGAATGAATGAAATACTCCAATGGCTTAAGAGTATTAATATCCAAAATTCAGCCTTATCGCATCTGGTATTGATAATCTGTTATTCTTCAAATTCCCAATCAAGAAATCAAGTAGTTTCCAATGATTTTCAAGTATGTTTCTTAAAAACTGTAATCTATGCTTCCAGGAAAATAATATCACTTCCTACTTTCGGTGACGCTCCCGGTGTACTGATTCAATGGGCCAGCATGCTACCCAATATATCAGCTGTTTACAATCACAATAGTCAATCACACTCAGGAGTACAGTGCACTACAGTATTTATTTACACTGGTGTACACCTTACTGTGATTGATAGAATGGTGGTCTATTCAGCGGCACAGTGTGATTTGTTAACCTATTGTCCCTAATGTGTACTCGCTTTTTAAAATAGTAACTAGCCCAGTAAAAAGCCTTTATGTGTTAACCAGTTATTCAAACACCACAAATGGGATTAGATCCACAATTTCGCATTAGGTGTTTACTAAAATAAACATAGCGCAGTATTTAAAACTGGCAAATATTTGTCTCCAGAAGAAATCCATGACGTTGTGTGTGAAGAACATTTTCAGCTGGGGCCTAAAATAAATTTATTTAAACTCAGATTGTCTGTGGACCTAGCACCTTTGAAGAAAGCAGGAAAAACAGGCACCTGGATGACTATTTACATTACCTGTTTGGAATGACACCACAAGAGACCTTCTATTGGAACACGACGTCAGAATTATATTGTTAAATAACAATATCAATTAAAGCACATAGCCATAACTTTATAATAGGGAAATTGTAGATGTGTAGCTTTCTTTGACAGTGTGTCTTAACAACAACTTTTTTGTTGTGTTTATTTTTTTGCTTTTTTTTTTCAGACATCTGTGCACGAACAAAATGTGTGAGTTTCCTTTCTGTTTTGCACAATATCAAATCTGAAAATTTTCTGTGATTGTTAAATAACAATTTTAATAAAAGCACATAGCAATTACTTCATACTAGGGAAATTATAGATTTGCAGCTTTCTTTGACAGTTTGTCTTAACAACAACTTTTTTGTTGTGTTTATTTTTTCGCTTTTTTTCCAGACATACATGCACAAATAAAATTTGTGAGTGATCTTTTTTGTTTTGCACAATGTCAGAACTGAACATTTTCTGTGATTGGAAAACGATCAAAAATTCCATATTGAAATTGCATGAAAACTGCAAGAGATGATAATAAAAGCAGCAAAGAATATCTTAAATCATGATTAGAGTTGGACCCACTGTAGGTTTTAGTTTGATTCAAGTTACAACATAATCATGTACAATCTTTAAAAACCAACCAAATTAAAACATGGATATAGAATTTGCAAACTTGATGTTATTAAGCTCATTTTTCTGGAATCATACCCGTACCCAATTTTAGTTTTGTTACTGATAGAACACTGCCAATTTTGTACTGGTGCAGGACTACCCACAAAAAGGCACACTTATTACATGTAGATAATATCAGCAGCAATTTTTAATTAAATTTTTTTCTACCCTTATATCATTATTCAATTATTAAAAAAAAACTTACAGAAACAGGACCTACATGTATTTTAAACGAGATTTTAGTACATAAAAATAGCACAATCTCAGAAAAACAATGTTCTAGAAATGTTACTGTCAGTTTAATCTCTTGTTCCAGTGCTGTAGGATGTTGAATGCCAACTTTCAAAATATCCTTCAAAACAAATTTCCATGGACAGTAGGTGAATGTTAAATCTATACATTTCCTGGGATATATATATAGCAAAATGTAGCCAAAATAGGCATTATAACATATAGTGAAGGGACAGTCAAGTCTCAATATGACCTGGCACCTACCAGTAATAGAACTCAAATTACTGTTTATCTCAGACAAATCCAAAGGATCAATGCATAATTTTTTCTATGGTATTAGTTAAAATTGCCATGAGCATTGTCCAACTCTAATATCTTCATATAAATCTGACAAATTATCCAGTATCAAAGTATATGAGTTATGAAGAACCTTAGTAACCGTTCAGTAACTTCACCCAGGACCCCAAGACATGCAACAGATCTGATAATTCTGAACCACATTCTGCACAGGGCTCACTGAAGATCAGCATATATTTACTTCAAAATTCAACCAACTTCAGAAAAAAATGTCTTCCTAGATTCGAGCAACTTGATTCTTGTTGTTCTAACTTTAAAATGTGAAGTTAGAGCTTAAAAATGATATAAAACAGTTACCAAGAAAACTGCAAAATAAAAAAAAAATAATAATAATACTTCATGTAACACACTGAATTAATTAACTGAAAAAATTGAACAGTTAAAACCTCAATTAAAAATAGAGAACTATAGATCTAAGTATGCAGTTAATATAAATTATTCATAAAAACAGGTAAACTAAATATCAGATTAATCTCAAAAGGTGACATTAACACCCTTTAAGCAGGTGTGCACATCAATTTTTCTCAGCTGGCATTTCGTGAGATGACTGGTTACCTCCTTATTTTTAATCAACAATAGCAACTTTAAAGATAAATATTAAAAAATAATAAATATTTCAGCATGAAGCATTAACAAACAGTTCCTAGAACAAGAAAGATAATTAAAATTTCAAACCATAATATAAAACAAACTTCTGGAACTTGAATGTTTCTCACCTGTCCACTTCCATATTGAAACCAACAGCATTCAGCTGGATACGTTTCACCTGTCTGAAGTCCAATACAAAAGTATTAAAATGAGACTGGCATGCGTGCCATTGACTTCTACGCCCAAGTGCTATCCAACAAGTCCACAAGGGCCCTCAAATGTATGTATATCTTCAAGTCTAATATTGACTTCTTTCTAACAACTCCCTTCCATACGGCAGGTCGCACAATGCCACATGCAGGCCTTTTGCTACAGCTATTCTCTTAATAGATGTATATTTATAAAAACACCCACTTCAAAGAGAACTACCCGCGTATGTCTACAATGGTTCTTAGACTGAGATTAAAAATGTCGTCTTTTATTGTTGGCATCAATGTGTCTATAGGCACAGATGCAACTGTTCTCTGGATGAAGATTAAAAAGCTCCAATAGTAAAGCACCCCCGGGCGGCCATCTACTTGAGTGTTTTACTTTTAGCTATTGATGTAATGGCATTATACACCTGTGTTGGCTTTCACACTCATCAAGACGCGAGACTTAGCAAAGTTATTTTCAGTCAGTCAATTGTTGTATAGATTTCATCACAATTTCCTTCGAGGCAGCACGTATCATTTTCAATGCTGCTTCCTGCTACATCCTTTCCATACACTTACTAGAAAGCATTGCAGGCCATGGACAAGGTTTGTTTCACAAAACTAGTTTTAAAATAAGTTCTGGGAAGTGGATGATTTGGATGCAAAACTTAATACATTTAGACTGATACAGGGAAGCCTGGACTGGTATTTAATATCTTTTCCCTCCCTCCCCCCCCCCCAAAAAAAATAAATAAATAAATAAATAAATAAATATATAAATAAATAAATTTTGGACAAATGTGTTAACAGGTTCCATGGACAGAATTGACAGGCAAAATAAATATCCATGCCCAACCTTTTTTTTTTATGTCCAGTTTAATAATTTTTAAGTCTGGATACCGAAGCAATGCTAAATTGCAAACACATTATTGGGTGTTGCCATTGTTTAATGGGCTGTCCAACTTAATTATGGTGACTACAGAGAACATATTTTTTAAATATTTAATATCCCACACAATTTCAAGGTTCATCTATCAAGTGTTAAACAGATGCTCCATCATTATACAGTTTAAAATGCATTGTTTCATGGGGAATTTAATTTGGGTCAGAAAGAAGACAAGATTTCAATAAAACAAATAAAGTCAAGCTTGTTTTGTCTTTGGCAATACTGGACAGAAATGATAAAATTCCTGTTTTTGTGAACATGATTTGCACATACTCACATTACTAATGAGGATATTTTCTGTTTTCAAAACAAATTCTCGTTATATAGTCAAATATAAACATGAAATTCTCAGTATTTATAGCCTTATTTGTAAATATTTTATCTTAATTTGTACTTTAAATTGGCCAGCTATTCAAGAAACAGCAGAGAGAAGACTAGGAATATATTTATCTGATTGAGACATGATTGCCGCTTTGACTGTCTCTCAATATGTAAAGAGCCATAGGCATGTATACTTTAACTTTGATAGCTCACACAAAAAAATGTTTTTACAGGCAATATCCATCCACCTATTTTTAAACTGATTACCCCAAGGATCTGTTCGGTCCTTTAATAGACTATAAAAATGCCAATGCATAAAGTAGTGTTTAGACATTTAATATGTCTCCATTTTATCTACCGTTGTATCTATACAAATTGAACTTTACGAATTCCCTGGATAACTTAACTTAAGGAAAATTTTCAGCTCCATTTTAACAATCATTCCACATGCGGGTTTATCATACCTAACACATTTAATTGCAATCCTAAAAGAACCAAATCAGTGTGTGTGAATGTGCCTACAAAAACCTCTTGCCTGCTCACAATACGATCAATAAATGCATTAGATACAAACATTATCAGTTACATGTTGTTGTGCATATGTAAGCCCTAATGGCTGACTACAATGCAGTAGCTATGGGCTGTTTCTCAGGATCAAATGGAATGTTATAATTAACCAGTGTGTTACAATTCAGCAAGTTAGTGGCATGTATTTGTATATGGATCGGGTTCAGGAAACGAGGGAAATGCAGAAAGTATTAAGAATTGCGCCAACTGGAAATTTAATATTTTACCTCCAGGGAGTAATAATACTTTATGTAAATTGTTTCTGGCAGTAAATAAAAACTTTATTTGTGAATTTTAGAATGAATAAGGTGAACCTGACATTGGACACTGAGGGAAGTGTAAAAAAAGATCAAAATCTACTTTATGGGCAGCTACAGGCCAATAGATCACCACTACTTACACATTTAAAGAAACTCTTTCCAATATATTCAATTATAACAGAAAACAAACTTGCAGATAAATTGAAAAGGTAGAGGGAACAGATAAAAAACAGTTCATTAAAAGTAAGGTAGTCATTTAAAATTGTAAACACCTCACTTTTTCTTATATTTTACTAATTAAAATTTAATCATCCTTAATCTCTTGTGATGCAAAATCACTTTTCAAACCTTTCCTTTATATAATTATCAATTTTTGTTAGTGGTGGTGGTGGGGGGGGGGGGGGGGGGAAGAGGATTTCAATTTTGTCCATATTTTGAGTTATTACTGAACAATTGTAGTCTTATTCATATATGTACATACCTGAATAGACAAAAAGTGATATCAGTTCCCCCTAAGTATATCAGGTATGTCTTAGCATCAAAGAGTGTGTCAATCTCACCTTAAAATAATAATAATAATAATAATAATAATAATAATAATAATAATAATAATAATAATAATAATAATAATGAGTGCAGCAATAAAAGAAAAGTGTATAACAAATCTGCCATCCTGGTGTAGTGTTATTATTTTTGCAAAACACAAATAATTAAATATGACTTCAATTTCAAAGAAATTAAACAGCATACTAATACTGATAAAGAAAAATGTATTGAATATCAGAGTTAAGTTTGAATAAAAAAGGCAATTACCTTTAGTGTGGATTACTATATGGTGATGAAAAGTTTCACTGTCCTTTGTTACTAATCTCTTTATTCATCTGAATCTCTGCTATTCAAATATGTACAGTCGTGCTCAGCAGATAAATCCTTAAAAGAAAACCAAACCAAATGATGTAAATGTCGTAACCAATGCAAAAGCATTCTCTATTAATTAAATGAGTCCAAACAAATGTTCTGAGAAAACAAAATTGAAAACCTTTTAGATGTGCCACAGTATTGCAAAGGCAGCTGTAACCTACTAGTACAAATGCCATAGTAGATCTCATTTGTTAGAAACAATAGTCTCTTGTACTGGAGTTAATGCTGTTAATCCTAGTAACATGTAAACATTTGTATTAATTACATCACTAATACTACAGATATTTATATTAGTTGGATTACAAAGAAAATGTGTATTCATAGGCCTGGGATCGCATGCATGTCAATGTTTTTTATCTATAGGTATTTAATTCCTTAGTTTTCAGAGCTTTTATTTTGTGACCACTGTGAACATTTTGACAATGTACATAACAACCATAGTATGACCTAAACAATTCAATCAAAAATGGTTCAATCACCAAATACAAGGAATGGGTCAAGTAATGATTCATGAGTAGCAAAATATGGCACTTTACTTGAGGAAGACTAGATTTGGCTCAAAAATCCCAGATACATGTAGGAGTCATTGACAGTTATCAAGCTTTTTTAAAAATAACTTAACCCCTATTATTCAATCTTACCTTACAAATCCTTCAGTGTTTATAATACTCCATGAAGCAGTCAATCAATCCCTTGTACTCAAACACCTGATGCTTTATCTATAAATTTGCGTTAACCCTGTAACCGGAGGAAATCAAAAACTGTAGCTTGTGGCCCTAATGACAAAATCAATGACATCACGAACTTATTGACATTTGTGTCTTTGATTCTTAAATAACACTCTATTGATCTGATTAAGTAGCTTAGCTCTTGATGCATCGTATATAAAGTTTACAACCAATTTACGCCGAATTTATGTTATTGTAATTGTAAATTGATATAAATTATATAATATTATTTTGTGGAATTTTCACATAGTCATAGATCTACGAGTTTATATATAATGAACCTAGCGTTGACATAAAGACTTATAATTTATTGATATTCTCCAGCCAGGCCGACAGCAACTGGAAAAGTAACAAAGCATTTGCTCAAACCCTACAAACTTGTTAAATACTCACTTTTTCTGTAGATCTGGAGGCATGTTTCCCCAAAATTAATTGTTGAAACAAACTTTTTTTTAGCGCAAAATAGTATTTCCGTATGCTTGTGACGTCATCAAGCAAGAGGTGACGGATCGGTATTTCTTATTTCTGCCTTTTTATAATTTACTATTGGTGACTCAGAAAAGTTATTTTACTACTTTATGGTTGCAATTTGAATTTTTACAAGTCCTTTAACTAAAATTACAAGAACTGCAGGTTGATATTCAATATGCTGTTAAATTAAATCAAAAGCTTGAGGATTGCGTCTCGCTGAGACATATTGCGATAGGTGAGAAAAATGAGCATTAGACTTGGATCATTTTTTAAAATACTATAGGCAACTTATGTTTATAGCTTTAAATCATGCTTTTAAGAATATGAAAATGTTCTCAAACTCAATTTGGGCAGTTTTCTAAAAACAGTAAAACTTGGGTAAAAGGTAGCGCATTGTTTTGCTTCGAAGCAGCAAAAATGCAGCAAATTTTATTTGTTTATTTGAATGGATATAATTATATTGGTAGGCCTCTTCACATTACATAAAGCCTTATTTTTTGGTAGACCGCCAACCACATAGGCCCTATATACCACGGTTATGTATGTTTTGTGTGCCCAGCCATGGATTTTGGCTTGTGCCTCATTTCCTACAGATGTTTTATCCTCTTTACACAGAACAGCTGCCGAGTTGGGGGGGGGGGGGGGGGGGGTAAGAGTTCCCCTCCCCATTCGATTTCTGAAAGAAATTAGACCAGTGGTAGGCCTACCCTCTTGAAATAGGAATTTTGACCAACTGAAGAATAGGTCTAAACCGTCTAATGGCACCGCTCGTCTTGTAAAATAACGAATCCCGTCCCGAACCCCACGGCCGGATCCGTCCCTGCTATCGTTGAATGACTACCATTATTTGTAGGTGGATAAAGAAACGCACCGGCTTTATTCAAATATATTATATATAAATGTTGTGCTGCAGATTCGTAGCTACATTGTTTTCATTTGAAATATAAAAACAACTGAACAGTTATGCATTTCCCACGTTACTAGTTTGTTCGCTTTAAATTAAATTAAAACTTGTGAACGACTCAAAGCTTCTTTTTTTTCTTTTTTTTGCATGCATTACCTCCTACCAGTTTTAAATTAAAATTTAAAAAAATACGTTACAACCTTTAGAGTGTTCATTCACGCTCTCATAAAGAAATGTCAATTTTAATTTGTTTGAAATCAAACGAGACATCTGAACTCTTCCGTTGAAGCGTCGGTGTAAGAAAGTGACATCAGAAGAAATAAAAATAATTGTGTTAGTTGTGCTGTTTGCACAATTGACATTAAGAACGGCATAAGTAATTTCTGTTCACATGAAGACAGATATGGAAGGGGAAGGGTCTATTTAGAAGAAAATGATGAGTTTGGTTCCCCCTTTCTTCCAAAAAAGCCAACAGGGATCTTGCAGTGTCCAATAAGACGTTTTTAAAGGTAACTCAGAGAAGGTACGTTAATGACAAACAAGCATATGTTTATTACTTATTCTGTTATTTTATTATGGAATATTACACAGTATACTCTTTATAATAATGATCAATATGGAGTTTTTGTTTTCAGTTATATATCCTTACAATATGAACAATGTTAAATAAAATTATTTGAAATGTTTTTTGAAAGTTTTTTGTATATACATACATGTAATCACAAAATAAAATATGTATATCTCACTTTTCTGATATGTACATATAAATGCTTAAACTCGCATGAAGCCAAATTCACACTGAAGCTCAAGATAATCAGGAAACTAACCAACACACACCTGTCATGTGAAATACCCTTGGGCTTTCACCAAATGTGTGCAAGCTTAAAAGAGACAACCAAAATTTGTTTCATTGAAGTGACAACACTGACCATCACCAACTAGTGTTGATGTGCATCTATTTACCCTACTTATACACACCGGAATAGCCCTGGGCATTCAGTACCTCAGTGCCTGGGGCACGTCTCACGAGTACATATCAGTCCGCAACATGCCTAAGAGGTGTAGTTACTACGTGCATATATTGTTATTATTGTCCTGTGTGTAAAAAAAACAAAGACAAAATGGCAGGACTATCGACATCCTAACTTGGTAGTTTAAGTCCTTTGTATCTGTGGCAGAGAGGGGAATTCGCTCCTGTAAGAGGAAAAAGAACACGAGTTTGCCAATCCGTGTACACCAGAAAGTATGATATTCCAAAATACATCAACCAGAGCAATGAACAATAAATGTGGGAAGGGGTTGAAATGAACCGTTCTAGATATAATCAGGATATATCCCGCGGAGGGCAAATGCTCGGGGGATCGGGGGATTTATTATATCTTGTTCCAGACCTGGCATTGCTGTAAGTTTTTCAGCAAGTCTTCTTTGTACTGTCTCATCCAAGCTGAAAAAGGAACCAATAAATAATTGTTTAAGACAAGGGAGATTTGTGCTAGTCAGCGAATCAATAAGATGATCAACGCTGTCCCCAATGAAGTTATCTGAAATGCGTAAAATTTGTAGTTCTCGCCACTGTTTAAGATTATCTGAAAGAACTTTCATTGCAGGCGCCATGTCTCCAAATAATCCAAAATGGCAACCCGATATATCTAGAAATTTCATGTTCAAATTGTTGAGTTTAAAGAAAAAAATTTTCATGGTAGTTGAAATGTCAATTCCAGGAAGCCCCATGTGTATACAATTCTTAGAAATGTCCAGATATTGCAACCTAGGTATATGATGCAAGTTGTTTGTCAGTGATTTCAGTCCTACAGGTGTTATGTCAGTGCTACCAAGTCCAAGTCGTTCTAAGCTAGGCAAATGCCTCAGCTGCGAGGCCAGGTCACAAAGGGTGTCACTCAAAATTGTGTGTCTATTCGGTAAGCCCTCCAAAAACACAACATTACCTACTTGTCCTGTGAATGGGTCCGTCCCATATTTTAAGCAAGTAATTCTTACAGACTGGGACTCCTTATTACCTTCCAAACATGATTTGCATTCAGTCAAGACTGTGTCTGACAGATCCAGTGTAAGAAGGTTGACCATGCTCTTTGTAGACACCAGTTGGAACATATCTACCAGGTGTTGGAGGGGAGGAGGACAGAACCTGACAAGCAACGTCTCCAGAGATGGGAATGGAGGCTCAAGTGACAGAAACAATTCCAAGTTGCTTCGATGCACTTCTAGATATATCAAACTTCTCATGGAACTTCCTGACAAGATCCTCGAGTTTGGATGTGCACATTTGTTTTCCAAACAACCATCTTTGTAATATTGAGTGTCCGACAGTAACAATTTCTTCAAGGAGGGAAAGATAGTATGGTGGTGTAATTTGTGAATTCTGGCATCTAATGTGGACGTCATGGCAAAATGAGTGATCTGATGAGCATATTGCAATATTTTATCTGCTGCCTGGGGATAAATACCATGTATGTGAAAATCAAAGAGATGATTCAGCCATTGCATGTGTTCATGGGTTACAACATGATTGTTTGTCAACATTTCAATTATAAGGCGTATAAAGAATGGGTTACAGTCTGAAGGTAAATTCCACTTTTCTACAAAATATGCAGTCTTAAAATCTGCATCTTTTTCTGTTAAGCTGTGCAAATGAGAAAAGATCACTGCTGCTACCTCTGAGGACAGGCCACATACAAATTGTATGACATTTGCCATATCTTGGAACCGCTCTAAAGAGTTAATATGGCCTAAAAATGTCTCAATTGGCTCTGAGTGAGACCTATCCTTACAACTTTCAACTATGTGCTTGGCAGCAAAATATTCCTGAATGGTCTTATGAATAAACGAAAAGCTTGATTTGTGGGCCTTTGTCCTAATGCTACTAATTTTTAAACGAGACATGATACCTGTGTGGAAAATCTGTTCCCCCAAATCCTTAATGCTTGAATTAGTTTCATCAAAGACAAGGTTACCGAAAAGAAGGCCATCAAAAGCAATTTTATTGATGATATTTTTCTTTTCTGACAGATAAGATTCTGCTGTTTCTTGATTTTCTTGACGGGCTACATATCTGTTCGAAAGTAGGCTTACAAGTTCTTGATAAAGTGCCGTGAGGGAATTGGGCATTTGTTCTGCAGTTTCTTCATCCCATAAAATGCATATAAAGAGTAACAGTAACGGGGTGGGTGATATGGATAGATGAAATTTCTTCACATACTGCACAACTGACTCGTGATAACCTGGATCTCTACCTGTAAAATGGTTTTGGATAAATTTGACAATTTCATCCGCGGACATGTCGTTGATTTCAACATGCATGTCACTGGGCCTATGTTTGGACAACTCGTGTGCTTTCCATGGGCGTGAGGTGACAATTACTGTTACACTAGCAAGTACCTCCCCTTTTATCAGTTTGGATATGTTATTCTGTGGGTTGGCATGATTATATTCATCATAGCCATCTAAAATTATGATGATTCTTTCAGCATTAGAATGAATGTACTTAAACAAAGCTTCATCTGATATTTCAAGAGAAGGGTCTATCAGCTGATCTTTGATTGATTCAAGCAGGGTTTGGTCTTTGTCAAGAAACCTTAACCTGATTAGAAACAGAAGTGACACATCTTCAAGATAAGAGTTATCTTTTGTTCCCGAATTCTCGCCACTTGAACCACTAGCGCCACTTTGCACCTTAGATCTTGCCCAATCGACAGCCATTTTTGCAGCAACTGTTGATTTGCCACAGCCAGCTTTACCTCTGATAATGATTCTTTTCTTTCTGATGTGTGGCTTGAAGATATCCTGATAAGACCTAAGAGGAACCTTCTTGAGGTCACCACCTTTCTTTTGTTCTTGAATGAGAGACAGATCGACAAACACGTCGTCAATGTTCATGGTGTCGGTATCATCCCAGGGGATCCGCGGCACACAGCTCATCTCACGGTTGTATCTTTCTGCCAGGTGGTTTTGAAGCAATGTCAGCTGCTCATCTGAAATGATTAACAAATACAAATTGTAATATGCATGTGTGTATGTGCCGGTTGATGTGTGTGTGTGCGTTCTCTTTCTCTGTGTGTGTGTGGGGGGGGGGGGGAAGGGGGGCATTGCACAGTGCATACATACATTTGAACACATCTCTTCACAAAGAAAAAATGGTAAATAATTGGCAGAATACATCAATAGGCAATGGATGTGATTAATATTCTGCTTATACCCTCGCTCCCCCTTTCATTTACGCATGGGAAATAACTTACATGGAAAAATTTTGAATGCTGTCAATTATTCACTTTTCTGCATATATTGATAAATAACACATATGTATATATTCTGTAAGTGCATATAAAGTAAGATCAATACAAATATCAAACTTTTACAAAAAAAGATATGCGAATAATGCTCCAAATCCTCGAGGCATCCCCTCCAAAAAAAGAGCTATTCTTCATTGAAAAATACAATTTCATCAAATAAAATTGACTAAAAATTACCAAAAAGTACTTTATTTAATTTAATAGAAATATGTTATATGTCGTGAATAATATTAATATTTTTTACCGACTAGTCATAAAAATATATGTATATGTGTGAACAGCCTCCACGTTACACACTCTCAGCACTATAAGCTTCCTCTGTAACATGACAGGGAGTCCCCCAGGATAGAGAGTCTGCTTGCCATTCATTTATACAGGTAAGCCTTACCCTAGATTTTGGCCCACTTAGGTCAGACGAACCCTAACCATTACAACCACTTGGAGGGCGGACTTTCTGTTACACAGACCCTCAGTTTTGCTACCGCCATAGTGGATATATCACAGGCTGTATTTACATGTGGCAGTAATGGGTCTTTTTAATAGTGGTTTATAACCTGAAGTTCAGGTTGTGCCAACTAGACCACGTTCCGCCACGCCACCTGCCGTAAGACACCCTCCACACTTCCAAGCAAACACGTCACGTTCGGATCAAGTGGCTAGCACGTTGCTATGACGTTATAAAGTGGTAGCAACGTGCTAGTCACATGATCCGAACGTGACGTGTTTGCTGGGAACATGGTTGGGAATTCTGCAAGCGCCTTCTACGGCATGCCATTCATTTGCAAAACTACAGTCAGGAATCGTCATTAAAAGCTGTGAAATGGCGGCCGTTGAATAGATGTGACATTTTCTCGACTTTGTCGATGAGTTCATGAATGGCTGTATACGGTGCCATAGTACAGGTGCTCACTGCAATCCAGATTACAGGATCATGCAAAGATGTACATCTCTTTTATATTGATATCACCGAAGCTGATAAAGAATAAGGGCTGTTAAGTATGATACGGAATAAACTTAGCGTAGGTCCCAACTGAACGTACGGGCTGCTACGTGTGGTCTACGGCCAAAAAATGTGGGAGTCCGTGCGTGAGGAGCACGTCCATCGTGTGACTTTTGGAGGACGCAAACAGCACGTAGACACTTTTCACCAATTACTTGATTTCTTCCCTGCGATCTAGCTACGTCCTAGACGGCCGCAAGGAACCTAAAAACCGTGCGTCCAAAACGTAGTTGGGACCTAGGCTTAAATAAAGACTGTTTAAGACAGCACAACCTGTTTTCATCATCCAACAGTGTGTCTTTCTATAAAATGCAAAAAAAAAAAAAAAGCATACACATGTATTACATATACAATATAGGAGTTTTATATCAATCTACCTGACAAGACATCCCATGGGCTAGAGGTATCTTGTCGGTCTGGCCCCAGTTTCACAAAATAATTCAAGTCAGGATCCTTGGCTTAGAACTAAATTACCAAGGTTACATGGTCACATGGGTAAGTCTTACCTATCAGGAGCAGTGTAACAGAACTCTCATGGAAATCCTAGTCAACTAATTAAGCCAGGGCACTGACTTTAGCTTTTTTGTGAAACTGGAAGCTGGTAGCTTAAACAAATGATAGAAATCATGCTGCCAAGCACATTACACTGCTGTCTAACTGTTTTTTAATGTAATCGTTATATTAGAATAATTACCTGACAAAATGCCCTGTTCTGGCTTTCTCTCTGGTTGTTCCTCTGTATGTACTTGATGGTAATGGGTTTCAACATGAAGCTTTGTTTGTTGGACCATTAAAGTCTGTTGAACTTCAAAATGGAAGCTTAGCGTCTCTTGTCGTTTATACAAGTCATCCAATTTGGCATATATATGGTCTAGTTTCAAATCCATGTTTTGCATCATCCTTAACATTTCCATCTCATCCAGGTAGCCACGTAAGATGCATATTTGATAAGAAATTTCCCTCTCAGGTTCAAGAGGTTTGTCCTTCAATTGCTGTATCTCTTCCGTGGTCAACACTTCAAGGCGCATAACGGCACTGGAGATAGTGGTCCACTTCTGTTCAAATTCACTGGGGGTTATGTCAGTTGATTCACGGTGAGCAAGTGAATTACGTTCAAACTTGAGGAGAATGATGTCCTGCATGTCTTGTGGGGCACCTGCAGCTTTTGCTGGATCATTCCAAACTGGGTCATTAGGACGGGTATTCCCCACTTGGAACTGTCGAATTAATAAAAAGGTGAGGGTGATGTCAAATACTTTCAAATTAGGTGGCTGATTATTGGCAGGGAAGATCAGATCATATTGCCTCTTGTTGATAAGTCTCTTGCACCCATGTCTTCCATGACGGAGATCGTCAATGTCTGTTTTGTTTGTAGTAAAGAACTGCTGTGGTGTCTGTCCACATAGTATGTGATTTTGGAAGTACTTTCTTAGACCTTCTGTTCCATGGTCAATGAGAAGACATCCCAACTTGGCGAAGTACTCCATCTTGGCCTGAGAGACAAGTTAAAGTTGATATTATTTAAATGAAACCAATAGAAAATTCAAGAATTGTTATACGCATAATGTGATTTTACGAAAACTCCATGTACAGTGTAGTGCGTCTATAGGTTTGTATGTATGTATGGATGCATGTATTTTTTTTGTGTGTGTATTAAACGGGTGATTATAGTTGACATCCAGGGCACGCTTTAAATCTAACTTAATTTACCACCTCTGATTTAATTCTATTTGACAGGGGCGGATTTAGGCCGTCTTCTGGGTCTTCCGGAAGACGGTCAGATTTTCAAGTTTACATTGACGGGTATCTAATTTTTTCTGTCGGAAGACGGTCAAAAAATGGAGGATGGATCAACAAATATAATATGGAAGACTGTCAGAAAATATCTCTGGATCCGCCCCTGATTTGTGCATAGTTTAGTAAGACAATATATAACTACAAATGACAACATCTATGTAATTGTTAGTAATTTGTTAGTTATATAAATTTGAACACACAAGTGAAACACGGTTACGCACGTCATCCGGTATTAGATGTGTAAACAATTTGGACAGCTCCTAGTACTTGAAAAAAGTGATGTTTTGTTTTCAGTTTCCGCCCATTAAAGGTGGGTGATAACTGAAACCTGATATTATTAGTATTTGGGTGATGAAGACTAAAAGTAGTCATGATTATAAATATGGATGGCACTTTGCCCCGACACAATAAATACAGGCGGCATACATAACGATACGACCTGGTTTTCTATATTTTACGTGTTTACGTGGCGTGCCATATAAAAGCCTATTCGTTTAACGTTTTTCGCCATTTTGTTTAAGATCAGACTACATGTACAGGTCATTGTCAAACGATGAAATCATGGCGTAAGCCGATGAGGGACTGTTTTCACAATTTTAACTCGTCTCATTTGCTAAACAATCAATATTTTTAAACTCCTAACCTTGCAAATAACCGATAATTAAACTCTCTACCTTGCAAACAACCAAATATTCGTGCAGAGAATACGATAAAACCGCCAGGGACAACCACACACATGTATATACAGAGTGGTCCATAAAAAACGACCTATTTTACTTTCCAATTGAGATATTTTCAACGGCCATTTTATCCTTGCAAATTCTGCAGAAATTGGAAACCTTTATAGTATATCCTTACCTTGCAAACAACTGACACTTCATTGAGAGAAAACGATAAAAACAGCCAAGTTTAACCGCACGTTGGACTATGTTTTCTAGAGAGTTCCAACCCTTATCAAGATTGTCCTGAATTATATGTGCAACGTTCAGCCTGAGGTAGGTGTGATAAGCTATGTCAACACATGTTCAGTGAGCGGCCTTGAACGTGGCATAAGGCACGTTGTGCCCTGTATTTAGATACCTTAGAAATCTGGGTTATGAGTGTCAATAAAAAGGCTCACAACAAAAATTCAATAAAGTGAACAATGTGTGAGTGTTATATATTTATATATATATATATATATATATATATATATATATATATATTATTTATTTAGTTATTTATTTATTTTGTGACGCCTGTCATCAGTCAATAGTTCTCTTTATTGTAAGAGGCCGTATACCCCGCAGTTATCAAGCTACATGTATATCAGAATCATGTGCACCGTTCCGTTGGCCTTTTACGAACTAAAAAATCATGTGTATTGTACTAAGTTGAAATGAAATAAACCACAATAAAATATTGCAGAAATTATGGATGTATTTAATAAAGGCTATGGAAACATATAGTATCTTGATATAAACTTCATATCACCCCCCCCCCCCCTTGTCATGAAGTTATTGACACAAAAATTAGAACTAGGAGCAATTGTGGTAGTTGTGATTTCAAAGCTGATGCAATCAAAATTGTTCAAAAGCTATTTGCAACAACACACCAACAGCATTTATTCTCACTCGACATGTACCGGTATATTATCACCGTCCACAGTGCTTCGATTCTTTTCATATTTATTGTTATACTGAAGCTATACAGCTGTATCGATGCACATTGAAAGGCCCCAGTGGCGGATTTAGGGGATGTTTTAGGGAGTCTTGGTGGTCCAGGGAGTCCCCCCCCCCCTTCAATTTCTAAGAAAAATCACACTAATGGTCCCCTTTTGAAATTAGAATTCTGATTAGCTAGTTCTAAACCGTGCCAAATAACACCGTTCGCCCTCTAAAATAGCAATTTGTGTTTATAATTGTACGGACATCAAGTATGTAGGACTTACATTTCTATGTATATATAAGAGAAAATTATGTCCGACAGGAATATATGTCCTAGGTACGTGTAAATAAGACTGGGAATCTAGGCCCGGGTGGGGCAGTACATCATTTAACAATACCAGGGCGACAGATTGATTTTTCATGTAGACATTAACAGATTTGTCTCTAGATAAATAGACAGTCATTTGGATTTTTCCGTTTTTCCCTATATAATCTGTCACCCTGATAGAGGGTAGTACATGGTAAGGAAGGCACGTCCATAGCACATGTTCCCAGGAACGGAGTTTGGTAGGACCTCCGTTCCCGGGGGCCATTCCTTTCACACAGGTGGCACGCAACTGAGGATCCGTGTGACTGAAAGTCCGCCCTCCATAAAGACATAATGGTTAGGGTTAGTATGACCTAAGTGGGTCAAAATCTAGGGCGAGACTCACGTGTACAAATGGATGGGAAGCGGACTCTCTGTCATGGGGGACTTTCTGGTACATGACAAGATGTGAAAGGATGCCAGTGACCACTCGGACTTATGGCAATGTTAAAATGACCACCAGTGCAGTTTTCAACCGAGGTTTAAGGGAATAAAGTAAACGTATAAATGAGAAATATTTAATTTTTATCTAATTATCTTATTTTTATCTTTTTTTCTACACTCATCCTACTTTCATTTTAGTACTGATAACCCGAAGCCATGAAGGGAGGAGTCCGTTGTTAATTTTTACCTATTATTTTTGTTTTAGTTAGTTTTTTATGCAAAAAAATATTCAATTGGTTCTACTGCCTGGTATAGGTTAATCAAGATTGTTCATATTACCTTCTGCTTTTTTTATTTCGTAAAATCACAGTAACTTGGTTTTTCATTTATCAGAATAACAGGTCGGTTGATTACAACATGTAAGCTTTTGAGCAGTTTGTTTCTAGAAAAAGGCTTCGATCAACTGATCCACGAGCCTACCAGGATACAAGGAAAATCCGCTTCTTGTATCGATTTGACTCTGACAAACAGACCCGACTTAATTAACAGTGCCTTCGTTGACCCGCCCATTGGCCAAACGAATCATAGTACCCTCGTTACTGAACTTTGTATTACTCAACCCAAACACGATCCTGTATATAGAACAATATGGAAGTACGATCAGGCTAATTTGGTGGCTTTAGACAAAGACATAAGCGAATATGACTGGGAAACTTTATTTTTAAAAAATAATTATGATATGAACGTAAAAACTGAAGTTTTTACTGATTCTTTACTCTCTTTTTACAAACGCCATATACCCCATAAAAGGAGGCTGATCAGGTCAAATGACAAGCCATGGTTTAATGACCAAATCAAGCATGAGTTAAATAAGAAAAAGAAACTATATAAAAAAATGAGGATTAAACCTTCAGAAAGGAATGAAAATAATTACAAAAATCAGGCGATAAAAGTTAAAGAATTAATAATTAAAACAAAAGAATCATTCCTTAATTCTAAAATAGAGAGCCTCGACAATAAAGGTGACGATAGTAAATCATACTGGACCGTAATGAAAAATATTCTTGGGAAACAGCGATCGTCTTCTATTCCTATTCTCAATAACCCGAGAAATGGATCTGTCGCTTCTACTGATCAAGAAAAGGCTGATGAATTTTTGTCCTATTTCTCATCAATGTACCACTCGGACTCTGTAGCAAATGTTGGCGAAATTCTCTTTCCTGTAAGAACTGATGCTTCCCTATCTCAGATACAATCCACTATTAGTGAAATTAAATCGATAATTGATGATTTAGACCCATCTAAAGCTAACGGCCCTGACCTGATTACCGTCAAGATGATAAAACTTACCAAAAACTCCGTGGTGAAGCCCCTAAATATTCTGTTCAACGCAATTATACAGTCTAATACCTTCCCCAACATCTGGAAAATTGCCGAAATTTGCCCAATCTTTAAAAAAGATGATAAAAAAT